TGTGTGTGTGTGTGTTTTTGTGGAGGGGTTTGGGGAGGTTGATTTTTCTTTTTGATATACGATGGCGATGGAAAGGGTAGGTAGGTTTATTATTGAGGGGATATAAGACGTACAAGAAGCTTAGCGGACAGGGCCCCCGAATCCGACTTTGGGGTGTTTTTGCGTCGCAGCCCGATTTTGCCTGGTTTGAGGACCACACCGGAGGTTGAACCTGTGTTCGAGGATGAACTGGCGCTGGTGGATTTGTCGTCTTCGTCTTTTACGGACCCCGCGGGTGGAAGACAGGTCATGACGAAGGTGACCTGCAGCAGGGCCAGGAAGGGGAGGTTGCTGAGCAGCTCGGCGACGGGGTCTGCGACGAGGGCATTGAAGCGGAGGGCGAGCAGCGCGAGGAGGAGGACGGGGTGAATGAGGGCGTAGGTTTTTGAGATGTTGTTTGGGAGGACGTGGATTGGGGGCGCGGATTTGGGGGCTGCTGGGCCCTGCGCGAGGGACGGGGATGGTGGTGTTGAGGACATTTTGGGGGTGATTGACTTTGTTGTTTTTGTTTTTGGGCTTGCGCCCAATTTGCCTCGTGGGTTGGTTGTTGTGGGTGGTTTGGAGAGAAGTATGTCTGGTGGATGGGTTCGGATCTGCGGATCGAGGGTTGCTGGTTGGCGCCTTGGGTGTCTGTGGTGGGTGCCGAGGTTGACGCTGCCTGAGGTGTCTATTCTAGGGGGTTGTCTTATTTCCAATTACGAGGAGTTTCTACCGTCTTGTGCTAGCTATGGTAGATAATAAGTAATAATGAAATTCAAAGTCTAGATCCTAAGCATCTATTCTTTACCTGTCCTTCCAATCCAAGCTCTATATATCCCATCCAGAGCTCACGCTAACCGTCCTATTCAACATGGCACCAAGCCAAAGAAGCAACATACATACATGAATCGTGGTCCATCAAGCATCACCAGTAAAAACGGGGTATGAAAAACAAATGAAATATGAAACAGCCCATCAATCATCATCCAGAATTCTCCATCATATCCCTGGCTCCAGTAGAAATCACATGGTCAAGACATACGAAACCCAGGCTCAGGCCCGGTGAAGATTGGAAAGTAGTTAAGACAAGTTTGTCAACACGATGGAACACTAGTTTCCAAGGAACTGAGAGGTCTCGTTGTCGCCCTGGTGAGACTCAAAAGTAGGGAGGTTCGCCGCAGATCCCGTCTGCACCACCCCGTCCTCCTTCTTCACCTCTAGCTCGACGGGTGCAGCTGGGCTGTCCGGAGTGCGCGGTTCTTCTGGGATTGCCGGCGGCAGACCTGACCCAGGGAGCGGGGACACTGGCGTGCTGTGTATGTCCTTGAGCTCTCTTGTCACATCAATTGGCGCCGGTGGCGCAGGTCGTACGTGACTGCTCTCCTTAGGGGCAGGAGAGAGCGCCTGGCTGGAGGTAGATCTCTCTGGGTCTGAATGTACGGGAGGACTCCTAGTCCGGTCCCTTTCGGTGTCCATAACTCCGTCCCGAACCTGCGCAACCTTGGCCTTGAATTTTCCGAACAGGCTGCGCTTCTCCGGCTCGGATGAGTCTTTCGCATTGTTATTCACTTCAGCGTCCAGACTGAGCGGCTGAAATGAGTGCTCGCTGGCGAACTGCTGGAGATCGGACGGTGAGCTTTTACTCGAGTGATGCCAGCTGCCAAACGAGCTTGTACTGCGATCCGCCCCCGGGTTCGACGCTAAGAGTGGCGGGGATCCTAGCCCGAGTCCGATTTGCTCATTACTACGTTTTGACGACCGAGGAAACCTCCAGCTCCGCCGATGCTCTTTGCGGTCTGCCCGAGAGGTGTCGTCGATGGGGTCAGCATCAGAGAGGTCGGTGAATGATGACCGCGAGTTCATCGACGGAGTACGTGAGCCATATGGCCTCAGAGTAGTATCGGCCGGTTGTCCAGCCTCGCTCGGAACCGCTGGCTTCTCCGGTTTTCCCTCTTGCTGGGAATTATCCTCTGGATTAGGGGCGTTCAAAGGTTTCGGGGTGTCTCCCCCAGCATCGGTAGGTTCAGACGTCCGGGGCGGTGGGATGCCAATTCCCGAGTCAGATGTGGCAGCTTGTAGGGACTGGGATGAGCTTTGTGCGCTCGCACTAGCGCTTCCTGGGATTCGTTTCTTCTTGAGCCGGTTGGGCTGCCGTGGCTCCTTCTCGCTGCCTGAAGGCGGCGACTTACTGAAGAAACTGGATAATTTCCGCTCCTTTGTCGGTGTCACGACGGCCCGCGGAGGTGAAGAGGGTACTGTCAAAGTATCCTGAGAAGGCTTTTCGGCGATGGGCGAGTGGGGGGCGGTGGCCTGGGAAACCGGGATCGGGCCGTGAGTAGATGTATGAACATACACGAGACCTGTGGTGGCAGTTGCCCCTCCCTGTGTTGCGGGTGGAGGTTTCGCGGGTTCGGTGTTCTGCTCGGGAACAGGCGGTACCTGGCTAGGCGACCGCGAGCGCTGTGTCGAAGTTCGTCCTGGAGTGGTCCCACCAGTAGCTTCGGTCACTCGGCCGTATCTAGCCTGCGCAATAGCCGGCGACATTTTGGAGGGTAGAGTGTTGCTTCGGTGGACTCCCGCGGCGCCCATGGACGTAGGGGTTGCAGGGCTGGCATTGTTCGAATTGCGAGAGTTCTTCGAAGACACTGAAACGTTTCGGCGAAGACTGCCAAACTTTCGGAAACTCTCTGCACCACCACTAGCACTCGAGACGGAGCGCCGCACTGTGGAATGGGAGGTTGGACGCAGCATACCTCCTTCCACTTCTTTCACAGTCGCCTCATCTGCAGCGGTTCCGTTCATGCCGAACAGGAAGTGGTCCTGGTTTTCGATCAAAAATATTAACACATCCTGGCTTAGCTTGTATTCTTCCGGTGACATATCGTGCTGGGGGTGGGAAAGCAGTCCAGGCTGAAAGATAGCAGAGAGATTGGCCGATGTCATCCGATTCTGATCAGACTTAGAAGCGAAGACCGCCAACAGATCAAGAATGTACAGGAGCAGTTGCTTGTTCAATGGGGGTAATTCTCTGATCAGCTGCTGGTATGCGGCGACCGCCTTCGCATGGTCGAACTTCTCGCCTTCATTCGTAGGCCCACCGCTCTGGACCTGTTTCTGATAAATGCGCAGGGGTTCACGGAAGCGCTCGTAGAATTCCAACGGGACGATCGGCTCGGGGAGTTGGTTCAGATACCGACGGAGGACGTTCGCAGCGTCGTGTACTGTATAGCCCGTCCAATCCAGACCTTTTCCATATCGCTCGGGGGAATCGAAGATCTCCTGTAGATCCTTGATGCGCTTGGCGGATCCGTTGAGTCGAAAAATGCCTTCGACATCCGTCGCTAACCCACAGATCAGCCAACTGACCGACAAGTTCTCACCCAGAGTGTGTACCTTTTTCCTTGAGGAAGACCCCGCATTTCGCGACTACGATGGGCACGTAGCCGTAGATAAAGCTCTCGCCATTGTCGTTTGTCAGGGAGATCGCGACGTTGGCATATTTGATGCTGACATTGAGGGGGACGCCGAAGATACCCTGCGGTTTTTCTGCGGCAGGTCAGCAATCAGGTCCACGGAGGTGGTGGCGGCGACGACAAAAAAGTGCGAGAGATGACGTATGACAACTATCTCTAGAAACGATATTGTTGAAAGCCAAGACCAGATGCGACCTTCAGATTCGAAACTGGCCAAGGCAAGGCATCATCGCCCGTCGCAACCTCGGGCTGCAGGCTGCCCCAGGTCATGTACCTCCTTCACGCATACACACGTACCTTTTGGCTCCTCTTTCCTGGTATTTCTCTTGAACTGTCTCCACCACGAGGCCAAGTCGCGTTTCGACGGCGGCGATGCGGCGATAAACCTAGGTTGGGTGGTGGTGGGAGGCAGCGATTGAAACGCCTCGGCGCCTTGAGATTTGCTGATCATGATGGGACGCTGTGCGATGGGAACGGGAGACTAGCACAATGCGACAGAATTATATGGTCCAGACCGATGAACCGAGGGATCCGTCACCGCCCTTCGTGTTTGCGCAAGAAATTCTGGGGCTGGGGGGGGGATTTAACGGTCCCCAAAATAGCACGAGGAACTAGTCAGCGTGGCAGCGGGTGGTCAAGTGCCGCGCCGTCCGCAAGTAGTCACTCGAGAATAGAATTGGGAACCAAGCACGACCAAACGAGCAGGAAAATAATTCTAATGGACGGCACGAGGGATCTTGAAATGTGGAACGGAGAGAGATATAAAAAAAACAGAAGGGGGATGCAGATAAAGGGGGGGGTCCAGGGAAGAGAGGGAGGTTGTGCAAAGGAGACGAGAATGAGAAAATGAGGGAGAGAGAGGGAGAGGGGATGAAGGAAGAAGGATGGGGAGGATGACCTGAATGGACTTTCAATGAATGAATGGGGGGGGGGGGAAAACGGTAATTTGATGGATGATCGATCGGAGAACACACACAACTTGGGGGGAGGAAAAAGGGAGACCAGAACACTTCTCCTCTGTTGGTGGATTCAATCAAATAATATAATAGAATTCTTCTAATAATAATTAGAAGTCGAATTGGGGATTAGTATGCGGTGGTGGTTATTGGTATGGGGTACAACATATTGGCACTAATATAATCGACAGTGTCAACCGGGGCAAGTGTGTAGGTAATTGTATCAAAAAAAAATCAATAGCTCGCACGCTAAAAACTGTCGGCCCCAGAATCACAAGGGGAAAGGGAAATGAATAAAAATAAAAAGGAAGAGAACAAGGGAAAAAGAAAAGAAAAGGAAGAGGAAGAGAAAAAGCGGTGGTTCTTGAGAGGTCAGTCTCTTTTGATGAGATGAGAATTTAATCCATCCGTCAGACAGACCAGGAACCAGTCAGACCAAAATTTCATGTCAATCACTCTTCTTCTGGAGAGGATGACCTAGACCCAAGGATCCAGAGTCTCTTCTGGACCCAACAAGGGTTCACTATAGCGTGTGATTATCTGAAACTAAAGGATCCCCTAACGGAAAAGGTAGAGTTTAAGAGGACTAGTCAGGGTAAGCGAAGGTCCCGTGAGGAAGCAAGAGGCGAAGCTATACATACATCGTCATCTACGGAGTACGTCGTTGCATGGCGATAAAGAATGCGAAAGGCTTCAACAAAAACAGTCCCAGAACAAGCGATGGCCCAGACTGAAGTGTAGACGACTACGATTCGGCTGACAATGACTGTCGATCTATATTAAGAATGGATCCTAAAAATGCAACGTTGTGTCCAAAATAACTGCCGCACCATCAGCGTCCATGGGTTAATTCCCCAACAGCAATCATCATCTTTCTCGTGCCATCCAAGATGCCAACCCGAAACAAAAAGAAAAAAAAGAACCAACCCCTCTCTGTTCTCTGACGAGTCAGGGATGATCAGAATCCGCGACAACGCAATGACCAATGAAGGCAGAAGAAGGGCGTTGAAGGCCCCTGGTGTCCGTGGTGCCGGTATTTTGCCCACCGCCGATCTTCTGGTTGGAGAGAGCCTCTCCAGGGCTCTCCCTGCGAGCAATTGCCCGAGTAATGGGTGTTGCCCATGAGCCAACCGTGGTTCCCTTCATGCCACCGCGCCTGGAGACCGTGTTCTGGTCCCCTGTGGGTAGTCTGTTCTTTTTTTACTCTGGTGATTGACGGTAGCATTGCCAAATTGGGTTGGTTGACGTCGTCACGTTTCTGTGCCCCGAGGTTGAATGACTCAGCCAGTACTGACCTTAGGTAATATATCACATGACCGTCACGAGGTCCAGGTCAGGTGAGGCGGACGTCACATGAGGTCATGTGAGACCAGAGCCTGCGGTCTGTTGAGAGCTCCGAAGCTTCGACCGCCCAGAAGAATAAAAGAAGATTGTTATTTCTTATCACGCCGTCACACTCTCCATCGCCCGTTTTATTCAAAACAAGCACATCTACGATCATAATGGAAGGGTAAGTTTGTCCTTATTTTTCTCCGCTTTTGTCTATGTAATTTTGGGTTGATGGCTCCGGTGCGGACAACAAACTGCTGGCTGATGCTAACGAACTATTGCCAGACTCAATGCCTCGGAACAGCGCGAGTTCGCCGCTCGCATGGAGAGGAAGCAGCTCAAGGAGTTCATGACCGTATGTGATGACCGTATCTCAATTCAACTTTCACTTCAACTTCGAACACCTGTTCTATCCTGGAAACATTCGACATCTATCCCTACCTGCGCCTCCATTCCTAACACTATCTAACTGAAATTATTTTCGATCTAGATGTACTCCAAGCTCGTCCAGCGCTGCTTCGATGACTGTGTCAATGACTTTACCACCAAGTCCCTGATCTCCCGCGAGGAGGGCTGCACCCTCCGTTGCGTGGACAAGTTCCTGAAGGGCTCTCAACGCTTGAACGAGCGCTTCCAGGAGCAGAATGCCGCCATGATGCAGAGTGGCCAGATGCCCGGCCGGTAATGGATTGATTGAATGATCTGCTTCTTCTTCTGGGTTCGGCGGGTTCGTGTACAAACTAGACTTTTCGAATGATGACCCCCATTGATTGCATTTGGTCTGGGATTCGGCTATGATCTGGATAAGGAGGGCTTCTGCTTGGTTGAGTCACGTGAACTCAAGAAGCATATATCCATGGTGCTGTTCAGCGTATGCCCTGGGAAATGTACTGTACAATATAGTGATTATGGACGTGCAATGGACCCTTGATGGGTATGTTAAGGTATTTAATTGAAACCATCGGGCGTTTGTTTTCATACCCACGATTTCTGTAAATGGCAAACTAGCAAGTAAGCGAATGCTATCCGGGAACTAGATAGGGGCGAATTGCCAAGTAAATCCGCCATGCTCAAGACAACTAGACTGGCAATTCAATATCATCCAGTTGTTATCAACTTTTACTTCTCCAACAAGAATACTGATGAACGGAGCGGAGCAACGATCTTGCGATGCGGGTACAGGACAGCAGGTCGGCTAATGGAAACCATCGCCCTTTTGGGGGGAGTGGGCCAGCATGATCCACCGCGCAGATGAATCAATCAGAGCCGTATTTTTCCGAGCAGAACTTCTCAGCCGACGTGCTCGAGTCAGCAGAAGAGAGAATCTCCTTTCATCATCGAAAAGGGCACGGACCACGTGGAAAACTTTACCGGATTGGGACTCCGCGCACCTGATAACGCCAGTGCTCTCACTCTTTCCTCCCTTGTAGAGCTCCAGCTGGAAGTAAATATGATACCTAGATGGGAAGGTCTTGGGTCTAGCAGTATGCAAGTCATGCTGATAAGTATAAGAGGGAATCGACTATCATGGGAATTCTGGATCCTCGCAGGAACTGGTTGGTTTGGTTAGAATACATACCCGCGCTGGGTGTTAATACCGATTGCATTATGGATCCTGCCCCCAACACGATGCGGAGAGGATGAGGGGATTGAGAACAAAAAGAAGCCATTGATGAAACCAATGTTTTAGATATTCAGAATCCGATGTAAGATAGCTCCAACGATGCTCTCCCCTCATGGTCCAACACCTTCCCTGCTTCCCCCCACCCCCTCTCCCCTCATCGCCAAAAACAGAGACCCCACCATGGCACGCTCCCGTTTTAAGCAACTCATTCCCTACCATTTCTTCACCCTCTGCTTTGTTCTTCCATTTATCTTTTCTTTCCGTTCCTTCATCACCCCGTTTTGATTTCGATCAATTCTCTTCCTCTGTTCAGTCTTCTCATAGATACCCTCACCATGGCTGACACTGTTGGAAAGGTTAGTACCTACCCCGCCATCCCACTTTTCCTCAACGGTTATTCGCCGAGCTTAGCTAACTTCTCTAGACCATCACCTGCAAGGCAAATAATACCCGACTGACGACGCAGATTTTTTTCCCCTCGCAGTCCGACTGACCATCTTCTAGGCCGCCGTTGCCTGGGCTGCTGGCGAGCCCCTCTCCGTTGAGGACGTCGAGGTCGCTCCCCCCAAGGCTCACGAAGTCCGCATTCAAGTCCACCACACTGGTGTCTGCCACACTGGTTCGTCGCTCCCGCTCCCTCGCTGCTCCGGCGGGTACTGACAATTCGCAGACGCCTACACCCTCTCCGGAAAGGACCCCGAAGGTGCTTTCCCCGTCGTCCTCGGTCATGAGGGTGCCGGTATCGTCGAGTCTGTCGGCGAGGGCGTCACCTCCGTGAAGCCCGGCGACTACGTCATTGCTCTTTAGTACGCTCTGCCCGAGACCCCCGGTGTAGAGCACCACTAACCTCCACCAGCACCCCCGAATGCCGTGAGTGCAAGTTCTGCAAGTCCGGCAAGACCAACCTGTGCGGCAAGATCCGTGCCACCCAGGGTAAGGGTGTCATGCCCGACGGTACTTCCCGCTTCAAGGCCCGCGGCAAGGACCTCCTCCACTTCATGGGTACCTCCACTTTCTCCCAGTACACCGTTGTCGCCGACATCTCTGTCGTCGCTGTGACGCCTAAGATCCCTACCGACCGCTCTTGCTTGCTGGGCTGCGGTATCACCACCGGTTACGGTGCCGCCGTTGTCACCGCCAAGGTCGAGGAGGGCTCCAACGTCGCCGTCTTCGGTATCGGCTGTGTCGGTCTCTCCGTCCTCCAGGGTGCCGTCAAGAACAAGGCCGGCAAGATCATCGCCATCGATGTCAACGATGGCAAGGAGGCCTGGGCCCGCAAGTTCGGTGCCACCCACTTCGTCAACCCCACCAAGCTCAACGGCAAGACGATCCAGGAGGAGCTAATTGAGATGACCGACGGTGGTTGTGATTACACTTTCGACTGCACCGGTAACGTCGGTGTCATGCGTGCTGCCCTGGAGGCATGCCACAAGGGTTGGGGTGAGAGTATCGTCATTGGTGTTGCTGCTGCTGGACAGGAGATCTCTACCAGACGTAAGTTTCCTATTTCTCCTTCGCACAATTTCTTTCTTTGTACTCACTGGAACCAGCATTCCAACTTGTCACCGGTCGTGTATGGAAGGGTTGTGCCTTCGGTGGTATCAAGGGTCGTACCCAATTGCCCGGCCTGGTTGATGACTACCTGAACGGCCAGCTTAAGGTTGATGAGTTCATTACCCACCGCGAGTCTCTTGACGGAATCAACAATGCCTTCGAGCAGATGAAGCAGGGTGACTGTGTCCGCTGCGTCGTGGACTGCCGTCAATAAATTATTCTGAAAAGTGTTTGATCTGTATGCTCGCTTGATGAGATCAATGTGATGAATTATGTATGATTGAAAGCCATAGTAAGCCAAGAATGATAGAACAATTGCAACGCAGCAAAGAAAAGAGTCGAGTAACGTATCGCCCCTGGGTCCGGACGTATGTTTATAGAAGGGACCTGTCGGTGGAGGCCCTCAAGGTCCCCAAGCGGGGTTGCTCTGACCTCATGAGCTGACCTACTACTACTTAGGACCGTGCCATTTCCGACAGCTATCCTGGCCGGATAATACTACTTGGACAGGGCAAGTGACCGCTTTTTACAAGTCGGCTTCATAGACTGGACATAGAATTCCGATAGAGTTCAATTCGGAAGTCAATTGTCTGTTATACCAGCCGTTGTCTCATGCGACATGGCCCGGACATTCGAGACTTCAAGCTGGAACTATCTTTTAGATAATGTTGGCGCATTCTACTAGCATATCAGGTGATTGGCCGTTTTCAGCATGGAGTCACAGACAAAGACACGGGGCTGGTCTTCGACTGTTGATGTCGGCTGGTTGAGTGGACGCTGCAGAACGATCGAAAAACGCACCAGAAAATCGATCTAGTGCCCTTCTAGCGAACTGTTTTCCTGCAGAAACTTTGGGACTTTCCTCTTCTGGAACAGGATTCAGCTCAGGGCCGCTTTTTACTCAGTGATTATTTCTAGAGTGTAAGGTAAAACAGAAATATATATACTGAGTAGACTGGCATTTGCCCAGGTCAAATTAGGTTAATAGGGTCAGTTGGTCCATATGATTGTTGTATACCAAGCGAATCATCGGTCCAACCTACCGAATCTATGTCATTAGAAGTAACTGAAGTTAGGGGAGTGGGGTAAGATATGAAGCACTTCTAGGAATTAAAATTGGGAAGGGGACTCGGTCCGAAGGAGCATTCCACCACCATCCTCACAATCATTGCCAACTTCTTCTAAGCGTTTCTCTGCTTCACGTCTAGCAAATTTTCGGGATATAGCACATCGGTAGTGGACACGAATAAGACAGCTTTTTTTTTTTTCTAATTGTAGATACACGCTGTGCCGAGTGAAACCCTGTTGGCGTTTGTGCTGAGGATAAGCATGTCGGCGTAGGCTGTGGTGTTTTGGCTGACGACGCTCTGACTGATAAAAGCTAGTTAGTACTTCGGAGTATCAACATGTGGCTTCAAAGTGACGGATATATATATAGTACAATACTTATCAGGAGAGAACTGTAAATTATTTGACAAGACCAAAATATCATAGTCCTTCAATCATGTGCGTTTCATTTAATTTATTAATACGCTTTCTACCCCTATCTCTTACCTGCATTGACTTTTCTAATTTTGACCGCATTGGCTACGTACTTCACAAATCTACACAGCAAACAATGGCTGGGAAGAGTTTATTGGTGATATTTTGACTAAATCTTAAATAACTGAGCTAGCCGAATACAACAATGTACAATCAAAAGAACCAAGAACTTTCATCAATTTGGAAGTGTGTATCCCCCCACCCCCCTTCGAAAAATCACATCGGCTGAGACGAAGCATAACACCATCCATGTGAGAAGCGGACTGTGATTATCCGCTCCAGGTTTTGGTGAGGTTTTGAGTACCGGGTGGGCACTCTCCACTCATAATTTTATTGACATCTGCTCCTGCACATTTCGCCATACATGCATTTCCATAGGTAACGCCGCCACTACACACTGGAGCTAACTCATAAGTGCATATACAATCCTGAGCTTGTACCGTCGTTGTTGCGAGAATTGTAAGGAATATTGCTGGGAGAAGTTGCATTGTTTCTATTTCTTATAATACTCCTGTTAGCCATAAAGCTCAAAAAGAATATCTATCACCATAGAAGCTAGATATTAGGGATATTTATACCTTAGTAACAATGGTTGTGGTAATTAGCAGAGAGTGTAGTGTCTGTGTCTGAAACCGACAAAGGAAAAATATTTGTAGAAGATAAAGAAGAGATTGGATGGGAAGGAAAATTAATAGCTATATAGAGAAGGATAAGATAATAAAATTCTTTCGGTATAACTCAACAGAGAATCTTTATTAGTACTCTACTTATTAGGGAGATAGGATGTTCCAAAGCTAGGCCCTGTTAAGGCGAAACCGGTGGAACCTTACTACTGTGATCTGCGTTAGGGAAACCAATGAGAGCATAACCATATCAATGCTATTCTGTTAAGGTATCTCATTGCTCCTAGATACCAGTAAGTGATAGCGCTAGTAGGGAAAAGTGGACTGAGGATAATTACCAGTGACCATCATCTTTGACCAATCCAAATTAGTTACGGGACGACGATCTTAAAAAGATTGGCGCTATAACGTAGAGCTTATTGATAGTTGAAATGCACGACTGCAGATCCTACATTAGATTCAATAGTGCGCATCGGGTTGCAGTAGTCAGTTAACTATTAGCCAAAGCTCCCAGCTGTACGATCTACTTTCCCTCATAATTGGCAGAGGCTAACCAATAGACTACTATAATAAAGGACGATGTGGCTATTTACTCGCTACAATGGAAGCGAGACGGGATAAATCAATTAGATAATAAGGGATTTTAATTAAATAGTTCAAAGTATAGACCGACTTTCCAAAGTGGGGATTGTACTGTGAGTGAAGGTATACTATATAAACTCCTTGTACAACTGGAGTGGGATCAAATTGATAAAACACTGACTATCCACTTCCCTTCTTACTGGCCTCAGCAAAATATATCTTTCTCGTTTAGACAACCCATCTACTGTTGACTTATTGGAGCATAGTCTGCTGTTCTAAAATGCGTTTTATCTATTTCCTTGCGCTTATTCTCCCTGCGACTATGGCTTTACCGACCAATCGTGAGGGCAAGGGGCTGGTGGAGAGACAGGATCTGGAGATACCGCCATTGAAACCGATTGGTGAGGCATTGACATTGGCGCCGGAGATAGATAAATGGATTGTTCTGCTTCAGGCAGCGAAGAAAGAGGTGACGGATCAGGGTCTTCTTGCGAAGCTTGATGAGGCTATTTCCAATCTCAGTACCGGTAGAGATGTGGATGTGGAGAAATTGCTTGAGCTCCTTCCGAAGGCGACAAGGGAGAGAGTGAAGTCCTATTGGTGAATGATTGTGGAGATCCAATGCTGGCGATAATCGATGTGAGTATATAGTAAATAATAGCAACTGCTGGGCTTTACGTTAGGCTAACAAGACTTATAGCGAGAATTGGCCGCGACAATTTGCTATCTCAGGATCTTATTATTGATCTCCAGCAGTCTTTTGGCGTATCACTGATATCTATATGCACACTTGCTTGTACATATCTAATACCTCGATATAGATTTCCCCTGTACAAACCAGGTTTTCTTCTATTATTGTGCAAATGCAGAGGCGCAGACAACGATTCCTAGTTTCTATTTGGCTTCTACTCTTGTTTAGTCGGTAGCAGTTATCTGGCTTTTAAGACAACGAGCGTTTTAAATATAGACCCTGGGTATTGTAGAATATAAAGTGTCCACTGATGCCCGATAGCTCAGCAACTAGTTTACTAAATGAAACCTCTATCCAAAAAGCGAAAGGCAAAATTTAATTATTATTTATGATATAGAAGTCCTAAGAGTACGTATTAAAGTGCTACAGTCTATTACTAAACGGCCATTAACGACCCGAGAAGAGCCCCTGAATGGGGGCTGTATTCGGGTATAATGCATTTCTCTCTCTCTCTCTCTATATATATAATGAGACTTCAAACCTGAAGACAAACGAGGGCTGAGCGGACATGCAACCAAAACAATCGTCGTATTAACAAACTTCATTCTGAAAGAATCACTATAAAAAGAGATTGATGTTCTTTGTGGCAAGTCCCAGCATAGGTACCAATGTCATACAGCGATATCAGGTGACTTCGTCATCCAGCTAGACTTCCTTGGTAAAACCAGTGACTTGCTTCCTATTCTTGACCCCCAGGAGACCTGCCAAGTCAGCACGGCAATTGGAATCACTACCAGTAAAGACCAGATCAAGCCTGAAAGAACTAATACAATTATAGAGAAAATCGAGAACACGGGGGTCATGATTCGAGCCCTAGACTCACGCCCGAGTCCAGTCTTGTCAGTGGGTGCAGAAAGGATGACCTGCATCGAAGACAGCACCAGAGATATGCTGGCAAACCCAAATATCAGAGGAGCAGCTATCCGTTGCACATAAGTCTGGATAGATCAGTAAGGTACGTCATAAAACCAGACTGTCGTTGCACTTGCCGGTTGGAAGAGGTAGCGTTTAGCCACCTGGGTGTCCTCGCAATGTCGGAAGTGCTGGATAAATTGGCACCAGGCATTCCAGGTGACGGTCTCGGGGATAAGGTGATGAGCGTGTGCAAGCGCAAAATCCGAGCGATGCCTAATGAGATGGACGTACGATCGGATGAACCCTAATGCAACAGTACGCTTGTTGGTAGCATGCAAAGAGAGGTGCACCGTCCAAAAGTCATGATTCAGCAACCACTCTGGTAAAGGCTGTATAAAGGAGGAATATTATCTAAGCTTAAATAGTGGAAGATCGTTAGGGATTCTATGCCGAGTACTATAGCCACACTCATAACAGAAATAGCTATCTCGAAGGAAACTGGTTACCATACTGGCTCGTCATCCCTTGTCATCCCCCCCTCATCTAGGAGTACGACCTGATTCATCCACAAGGACATGCAGCACCGAGAAATCAGGTTTGAAAGTGTAGTCGAGAGGCTCCTTTCTACAACATACAGTAGATCACTGAATGCACCACAGCGGCAACCCCAACCAAACATAGACACATCTTTCCATGCAGTTCCAGACAACTGAGCAACCTCCCCATCCCAATCATCTGCACCGCCTTTTGTGCATGTAGCGGTCCTCGGTTGACTGCCGAAAAGATCTCTCCCACCCGCCTGCCCCGCCGCTGCTGTCTAAAGATCAGCGTCTCGCAGGTGGGCGGCAGAAGACTGATCTGGACCAGGATCAACACCATATAAGAGGGAAGGAGGAGAAACAGCTGGGCAGAGAGCATGAGCCCCGCTACCAGGATGTCGGATCTCACGATGTACAATAGTCTCGCTATTGTGACTGCCTCGTCCGGCGGTGGGGTGATGCTGCTGCTGTCGAATAGAGCCGGCACATGCATCATCACGGTTTCAGCCGCGGCATAGACCAGAGTGGGAAGCGCCAGCGCCTTCCATTGTCGGCGGTCGCCGGGGTTGGACACGAAGCGCAGCTGGTCATGCGGAAGGATGGTGCGCGCGGTCCAGAGGAAATGTGTCTCAGCGAGCAGGAGCGATGCAAGGATATGCGCGGCCGGACTGGGAAGCAGAGTAGTCGATAGTTTCGCCACCGAGATGTGCATCGCCCAATAGGTACAGGCAGAACCGATGCCATTCAGGAGAAGATGGATACCCCCTTTGCGGTAGAGGGTGGCGCTGGTTCGGAGCAGTTGGCGACTGGAGGGAGCTGGCTTCTTGGCCCCCAGGTCAGAAGCATCAGCGTGCTTCTCTACGGTTTCAAGGATTAAGAGAGACAATAGGACATGGCCAATCCAATATCGTATCTGGGCCCTATTAGCTTCTGCGAAGAACAGCGATTCTTTACTAGTTGCTCACTAGGAGGTTAAGGATAAGCCCTAGAGTAATCGGCACTAATAGTAAAACATTATTCGTTTGAGCAGATTGATTTTGGAAAGATCGATGAGTTCGCGCAAGTAGTGGGTCATCTCCTGTGGAATGGATGAAGGTATTGAACAGTTCACGAAAGAGGGTCAACAAAAAGTGTAGGCGTGAAGGGTATGCCATCGTATACTGAGGCAGTGAGTATAAGCAAGAAGCTGAAGTTGTTCGCTTTGGATGACAGGACGGTAGGCATTATCTTCTCTTCATATATTTCTCCATCGACTCTCTCATGAACCTCTGGATGAGACTAACCAAGGTCAAAAAATCAAGCTAATGCCAAGCTATTTCAGCTAATGCAAAACTAATTGCTTACAATGACATCAAGTCCCTTGATCCTGGGTCATTGCCGCAAGGGCTATAGTTATAACAGGCAATTGCAAGACCCAAATTCGTGCCCGACGTAGGCAGAAGCGAAAAGCATCAAATCCTGGATCTTTAATGGTACTGTGATAGGGTACGAAAGAAAGGGCCACCGTGGCAACTAGTTCAGTGGTGGTCTAGTCGTATGGTAATATTGACAAGGGTAAGGATTTTACACTCTTTTCGCACCCTACGAGCCTCTCTAGGGTGGACCCTGCTCTAGGTAACATCCGAAAGCCTTAGCACCATGTTGCCTACGCGATTGTCCCGCTCAATTGAACCAGTGTGTATTGTAGAGTCATCACCCGAGTTACTCCAGAGTAGATACTTCCTCGCTGTTGTCTTGAACTAGTCCGCTCCCCTGTATCCCGCTATCCCGAGGCATACATACTGAATCGACCTAATCTTCTCCACAGAAACACCTTTGTCCATACAGGCTCATTAATTATTGCCTAGCGGAGAGAACTTTTAAATGCCCCCCAAAATTGGACCACGGCCACGTCATGAGCATCAGACAAGCACCCGTTCTCGAGCAAGAGTTTTCCACAGTCCAGAGCCTTAAATAAATAGGGACAAATTCACTCGCTGCACAAGTAGATAGACCGTAAGTATAGCAAGCCATTGTCCACTCAGTCTCCGGCTCAGATCTTCTGAACTATTCCCGTCTCTCAACTCTCTCCAACAACAATGAGAACTTCTTCGTTTTATCTCCTGGCCGGGATGCTGCTCGGCCGAACCGCCCACAGCCAGCAGCTCAGTTATGACGACAGCATCCAAGCGCTGGCTTACGGCAACATCGCCACCTCTGTGGAATCGCGCGGCTATGCCTGGCTGAACATCGCCGGCTTCGCGGAGACTGAACTCCCGCATATTCAGGCGGATGTGGGCATCCACTCCCTGGACAATGCGTGCGAGCTGCAGGTGATCGCGAATCTGGTGCAAAGCGCCGCGAGGAGGGGACTTTGGGGCGACCTCGTGTTCCTGTATAACATCTTCTCAATGAATGCGCACCCCGCGTACGCCAACGTAGCGAGCACACAGATGCAGACCAGCCTGCTGGATGCAGTACGCGGTAAGGGTTCCACGGGCAGCGGGCCGGACGAGCGCTTGATCGAGCTCTATGCCAGCACATCGAGCGCGCCGGACTTAGAGGCGGCGTACCGCGTTCTCCCGCCATCTTTCGGAGTTCAATAGTCTATGCTTATGTGCATACAATGACAGAGATGACATATACTATGTGGCGGATGTCACTAGTTCCATTAAGGTCTATGATCTACCTACAAGAAGTGTTGGCACAGATATTGATCTTTACTCTGGATACTTAATAAAGAGTACGGACCACAAAGTGGCTCGGCCAATTTTTATTCTAGATAATCAGAAAGATTTCATCGATATTTCTAATAAGAATAACAAATAGGAGGTGATTCTATACAGACTGAAGTCTAGAATAAAAATAAACATGAAAATAAGGCACGAGAAAGAGGTACATAGGTTAATAGTGTGAAGCTGAAGAAAAGAAAAAGCAATCATTCTCGTATTATTCGGACTGGTTAGTGGCTAGGGTTCAGGGCAGATTCTTGTTTGGGCTTACGGGAGATACAAGTCATATTTCCCGGGGCCTGCATATGCACAGTACAAAAAGAAACATTGCCCTCTTTTATCTCTTACCCCTCCAGTTCCTAAGCCTGAAGGTGCATGTCCACACTGTAATGTTCCGTGTATTTTGTGACAGAACGAAGCTAGAATGGAGAAGCTGACTGAGGAATATGTTATACTGAATGTCCAATATGCTATGCTTTCTGGTCAAAGATAAAAGCTGGAGTAAGCTGTATTGTGATAGCTACCAGTCAGTGGCAATCAACCAGCGGCTTCTGCTTCTTGTAGTCGCCCTCGCTGTAGCATCTTGCGCAGTCTCGCCCTTTCTTTTTCTATACTTCCCACCTAGTTGGTAGTTAGTAGTTGTTGGATACTATTTGTAATATTCTTCAGAAAGGACGTATACGACTGTAGTTGAAATTTGCCGAGTTAGTGGGGGTTTAGTATTCATCTTATGCACGGTAGTGGAATGGGAGTATTCAAATCGAGTGTACGATCTATGATTCTACTGAGATATCGATAACTTTAGTTCAAGCTCCCCATTGCCATGCGCAAGGTGTCGGCAGTTATATTTTCTTGGGTACTCCCAATTCTGCCAGGGACTCTGTCAACCCCAGGCTGACCCATTTATCGATCTCCTTCGTCGTAGCCACGGCGATCACCCCCAGCATGCCCAACGAATTCACACCGGCCTCCTTGTTAACCGCGCCTCGTCTTCTGGGCAGCACAATCATCCACCTCTTGGTAAGTATCATATTATGTGGACAAGCCGCTCCAGATGGTGCACTCGCCACATGTTCCCCACGACCCCCACCCACCTTCGTCGCCTCCCTCAGCAGATCATGATAAACCCCAACCAACACCGTTGAGTCCACCTCCCCTGCAAAACGCCGATAGAACCACTCAAACGGAACCTTAGTCTCAGCCTCCTGCCCCTCGGGAGAATCCAAAAACGCCGCGAAACTATTTGCCGGCAGAGGCATCACCTGCAGATGCTTATGCAGCCGACTACACCCACCATCCCGGCCGCAGTTGTAGAACGCCACGTAGTCCGTTTCCGCGGCGTTAAGGATCCGCCACACACCGTCTAGATCGGCCTCGTCGAGCGGCTCGTACTGTCGTCTGTGCTCGTCAAGTGTTAGAAGCATGAGGTGGGGCCGCGAGAAGCTGAACTTGTTTGCGATCACGATGTGGGTATCTGTTGTGGTGATTTCGAACCCGGTCGTGCTTATGTCGCTGCCTTCTTGCTTTTCGGGCCGTTGGGTGATGTTGGTCTCGAGTTGGGGTTGGGCAGGGGTTAGAGTGGGCTTTTTAGTGAGGGCAGCGGTGAGGATGAATTGGAACTTGAGGAGCATTGTCAGTATGTGTTTTGCTAGGGAATAGCTGGGAAGTGGGGTGGTACTTTGAGGTCGCCGTCGATGTGCTCGATGGTCTGTTGTTTGTCGTCATAAAGGACGAGGCCGCATTCGACGAGACGGTCAAATTTTGAGACGACTAAGGATTCTTTCATCTTGTCTGTGGTTCTCTGGATTGTGGACGTTGAACGTAGGTCTATGATCTATCTTGTTGGAGGCGGGTGAGTACAACTTATGAATAGTACTCTAAAGGGTTGAAAGTTACCGTTATGGACTACTGCTTTGTACCGAGAGTAGATATCACAACAGCATTCTTAGACTGATCTTTATGACTTGTCGGCTTCTTGCTGACGCCATAAACGAACTGTGGAATGTTATACTTGGTTCGGGCTCCCCGCCGGACCCGACCCGAACCCGCCCCGAACCCACTCTGGGGTGTTGCGGTCTAGGGCCAAAGCCCCGACTACCTCTAAATTCTTCAGGAGCGACATACTGATTTTTGCTCTGTTCATAACGTGCCAATCCAGGGCTAAAATGTCGCTACGGCCTATCTGATAGTCGCCGCTGTAATGGTGACCGTTAGCTCAGTTACTTCAAAATGAGATATAAAAGCCTACTACTACTTAACCAGTTTACTGATTACCCCCTCTACTCGATCTCAATATGGCCAAGATTTAAACATTAACTAGATCCATGACCTACAGCGGTGGCGGCGATGAATATATTATTGTGGTTTGGTAGTCGGAATGAAGAGTGTATGTTCTCCATCGGACTCAGCCTACCGACCACGTTTTAGCAGCTACGATTATTGAGAGTAAATAGTAAGTGTCTGTGCACAAGTCATGTGTTGCAGGAATATCAATTCTACTTGACTGAGTTATCTCTTTATACGGAGGACTACACATAGCAGTTTTCCGGGCATGAAGATGTGATTGTTGTCTCGTAGACTGATCCAGACTCACGGACTGGGCTCCCAAGTTTCTTAAGTAGGTAGTAGATAGGTGGGACGGCAACAATCTCCCACGATTGAGAGATTAGGGCTTTATTGTGGGTCGCTTGATGCTAGCTCGGACGAGCATACTTTGAGATACATGCTCAGCCCCTGAGAGTCTGGGCTATTGTGTGCTGCCCTAATCATATAGCAGAGATCCATGAAACGCAAGGGGGCTCACGGCCGTCGGGCATGGGCCAACAACTGCCGAGAATCTGACAGGGCTGCCAGTAAAAGGCAATTAATCAAACCGATTGTCAAAGTGTTAAGCTAAACCAGTCAGGTCTCGTATAACGGCGCCAACCATACCGCAACAGCCTTAACCTGCCAACGCCAAGGAGGGCTGCGGAAAGTTCGAGCTCTTTTTCGAGGCTCCAATTGGTGCGTTCGATCATCCACGGCACTAGCTTATCCTCCAGCTTTGGCCCCCATAGCACCCAATTTCAGTCCATGAAGAGGAAGCAGTTAGCCCCGGGATGATCTCGATACAAGCCAACCCGTTTAAGAGGCGAAGGCCGCCCCGTGCAGGATTCTGCCTGAGTGGATAATTTTATAACTTGATCGGCGTCCGCTGTAAGACCGTCCGTCCGTATGTCTTGACTCGGCCAAAAACTTCAGCCATATCTTTCCACACGATGGCTTATCTGCCCCTGCGGACCCTCGTTGGTCTCGTTGCAGCCATCTCTCTCTGCATACCAGCATTATCGCTGGAAGTGTTAGACTCCTCAAAATGTCGCGCAGTATGCGGCGATAGGAAAAACACTCTCACAAGCGACCTCGTCTGCCAGGATTCCTTATTTAACACGTCTGCAAATGGCCTCACAATGAAAAGCTGCCTGCTTTGCGAAAGCACCGGCACGACATATGTAAACAATCGGTCGAGCGATATCTGGACTTTCCTCTGTATGTACTATTTTGACGAAGTCTTCTTCCCAGCCACCAAAACCCACATACCACCCTACCTACATCCCAAGACCTAACGCTAACCACATACTATAGTCATCCAAAAATACACCCTCCAAACCTGCCTCTACGACCGCACATCCGAAACCTCCATCTCCGGCTGTGAAGACGAGTGTCTCCCGCTGCGCTCCAAGTTCACAGACCTCTGGTACAAACCCAATTACACAGAGACGCTCTACGAATATTGCGACGACGTGTTCACACAATACGCCAGTGGCTGCGCCACCTGTCTACGGTCTAAATCCGGGTCCGTGATTCTGGGCAATTTCATGGATACCATGGATTCGGCGTGCGAGCTGAAACCAAATGCCTCCGCGGGGGAGATCGTTACGCTTCGCCGGCCACTCTTCGATATGTCGACTGCTACGTCTAATACTAGTGCGACGAGTAGTGCGTCGGCATCGGCGTCGGCGACAGGGAGTAATGGGGGTAATCGCGACACCAGTTCCTCGGGGTTGTCGACGGGGGCTAAGGCTGGTATTGGAGTTGGTGTGGGCGTGGGTGGGTTGATGGTTTTGGGTGCGGCGGCCTGGTTGCTGCTTGCGAAGAGACGAAGGGCTGCACAGGGAGGGGCCCATCAGTATGAGCCGCCGTTGGAGCAGGGGCCTGCGTCGGAGGTTTCGTACGGTGCTGGCACACCTGTTGTCGAACAGGTTGTCAAGCCCCCTGGGGAATTGGCCGCTGCGGAACCGGCGAAGGCTGAGTTGGATGGTGGAAATGGAGGGGTTAGGAGAGGAGATAATGCAGTGGAGCTTCCTTGATGAATATATGGGCGTGGTATATGGATTGTACCGTTTAATGATTATCGACTACATAATTGCGCTTCGGTGCATGAGTACATCCTATAGACGTGAGTAAAGTGAGATTGAAACTTTCTTCTGTCATGACAAGGTGTTTCATGGTGAACGAAAAGAGCATTAAGGACGTACATACACTCAGCAACAAATCTGGGTGGATATCTCAAAGCACAGATGATCAGCAATACGAGTGCTATATTGGTCTATGCTATAACACTTGGCTCCCGGATAAGTGCAATTCACGAGTGGCCCTCGACTGGGGCCTTCAACTCAAAGCAGAAAGCGGATAGCTGCATAGTTCGTGGAGGTAGCACCAAGTCAAGATTCAAGGATGGACCACATTGTCGTCATATAAGCTATTATAAGGTTCATCAGGCGTGCAGAGGAAGAAGACCCACTGTGACTGTCGCCACGACGGTCATCGGTTGTGTAGCCATATGCTCGTCATAACTAGAGACAAGAGGTTGGTCCCACTTTAGTTTCTGCTATCTGTATAAGGTCGTCTACTAACTTCTGGCGTCAGGATAGATGCCTTGGGGTGTGAGGTATGTGGTGGGGAATGTCTATACCAGCAAACGGCGGAGGGAGTCATATAGCTGTTATACTCAGAAGGGGTTGAACTTACCTTGAACAGGAGTAAAAATATTATATACATGCATCGAATAGATATTATTATTGTATACAAAGCGCCAAGATCAATCCTGAAGTACATTCCTTTCAGTTATGTGCATACATCTCCTCTCTCGACTGCCACAGTCAAAAATTCAGGTTCGTACCCAGATAACCCTGCGTACATGTACCATTTGCCATGGCTAGGTATGATTTCTGGCACCTATAAAGGCAACCAGGCATTTAAACAAAAGCAAGGGGTCGATAGTGTGATTGGCGAACTTTTTGCTGTTTAAGTGGAGAAACGCGGCGCACGGATGATGCCACTCATACTCCACGCGGAAGCCCAAATTCCTCATGCCGTTAGTAACTTCCATTGCATGTTCAGGACAGGAATTCCCCTGTTGGATGACACAGAAACTCCCAACTCGGATGACGACGGATCTACAGACTCCCGCGGAAAACGAGATAATTAAGCATTGTACTACACCCAGAACCATGTTTCAGCTGCAGCATACGCCATTTATAAATAATTCACCAGGAGGCTCTGAACCAGAGAGTGAGAAGGAATACCATCATCATAACAGAGGATCCGATAAGGCTGTGCTGTTCCGCAAGAACATCGGGATAAATGGGCTCATTCGAGAATGGATCAACGTCGTATTACACCCAACCAATAACACCAGAAGAGCCCCCAACGCCAAGAAAGGTCTCGAGAAATACCCTATCGTAATTGGTTCCATCGTGAATAGACACTTTATGCTGCGCCTCAGCCGTGGAAGTGGAGAATCTGCGTCTCAACCCTGAAACCCTGACTCGCCGCAGGGTCGCTGGTCGTGGAGCCAACTGTTATTCTAGTTTCTCACTATGAACTAAATAAAATAACCCACTCGAGCCCAATGAAAGTCACAAGATGATCGACAGACATTACGAGTTCGCAATCCCATTCTCACTTCCAGCCCGCCGTGGCCGATTTTTCACGTCAACAACCACCCCCCCGGGCCATATCCTATGTATACATAATGACCTGGCTCTCATCACAGACGGCGAGGATCCTCCTCGGACTTCTAGCCGTCGCATATCTTTTTACGCCCGTATATTCTCTAGCCACGATTCCCAAGTCGAAATGCATCAAAAACTGCGGAACCACCCCGAAAACGACCGCCGATGACCTCGTCTGTCCCGATTCAGCCTATAACAACACCGAGAAAGGGAGGACCGTGAAAGATTGTCTGCTATGTCAAAGTACGGGAACGGCATATATCAACGATGAGAGAAATGACATCTACACCTTTCTAGGTGGGCACATCACCCTGTCCGCGTCTTTTGAAGAGCCTCTTAACATCATCATTCTAACCTATGACTTCCACGGACAATAGCTACTCAGAAATACACCGTTCAGACCTGCCTTTTCGACCGCAATGGCTCTATATCAGGCTGCCAGAATGAATGTATCCCCCTGCAAAGCGTCTACAAAACCAACTGGTACGGCGGCAGCAACTTCACCCCGATTTATACGTATTGCGACGACGCCGGGTTCAAGCAGTATGCCGATCAATGTGAATCGTGTCTACGGGGTAGAAATGGGAGTTACATTCTCGCGAATTGTGAGTTTACCTTCTGTGCAGGACTTTGACATATACAGGCGATCTAATAATGGCTTAATAATGTAGTCATCGACAACATGGTCTCAGCGTGTACGAATAAGCCGAATGCCTCCGAAGGCGAGATTGTCACCCTCCGTCAACCCATCTTCCAGGTTCCTGCGTCGGAAGCCGTGCCCGACGAGAGCAATTCTTCAAGCGGTTTGTCAACGGGTGCGAAAGCTGGTATCGGTGTTGGAGTTGGAGTTGGTGGACTCATGATAGTGGGGGGTTTGGCCTGGTTTTTCTGTATCAGGAGGAGGTCGAAGAGGGTCGACGCTCATCAGTATGAGCGGCCCTGGCAGCAGGAGAATGCCGATGCATCTGCGCTGTCGCCTGATCCGCGGAGTGGACCGCCGAGTGAGATGCCCGCTGATGCGGTTGTGAAGGGGCCAACAGAGCTAGAAGGGGAAGATAATACCAAGGCAAAGGTGGGGGGAGGTAATGAAGGTGAGTATGGAAAGGATAAGAAAGAGACACCATCCGAGCCCGTGGAATTACCGTAATGAATAATAAGATACTGTTGAGACTGAACGGGGCCTGCATCTGTATATATGGGTTACGATTTGACATTGTCTATGCATCGGCCTTGGAGACCAGGTTTAAGCGGCTAATATAGACCAGAGTGGCAGCATCGCTGCACAAGATACACATCGAACAGATTTTGATTGAATAATACTACAATTAGTCAGGATTGTATCCCCGATAGCATATGCTGCATGAACTGTAAAGCATTACGGTTATTGGGCGGGCAGCCTTCCTGGTCGAACAGTGTAAGAATTGGCTATGTAAGCTGAAGGTCATTCAACCTGGAAAGAGGCGAATATTCATGATCTCATAGGGGTAATAAACTAGACACAAGAATTCAGGTCTATAAAGCTGATTCCCGAGGCGTCCATGTCGACACTATAGTTCTTGCCTTCCAGTTCCATAGCAACACAGTGTATTGTCTCAATGGGCTTTCACCCTATGTGCTATCTTTCTACTTTGTTATTTCATCTTACTGCCTTTCCCTGTCTCTTCAGCCATCCATGATACAGCGGGAAGACCTAGCGCATCAGGTAGATATTTTGTCCACTGGGAAATAATATTGGCGCCATGATGGTCAACTTAGAGACATTGTGAATACACAATAACTAGCCAAATCAATAATCACAACTAGCAGCTAAAGCGTGGATTTCACCGGTGGCAGTTCTCCCGCCGTCGCCACAATTTTGATATGCTCATCCGCGTTCTGGAGGAGCGTTTTGAAGCCCTTGTCCACAAGGTCTTCCAACGCAATACGCCGTGTTATCATGCGCTCCACTCCTGCAAACTTGCCTATTCCATAGTCAGCCCAGTTGGTCATCGCACATGCTTTACATTCATACCTTCAACGAATGCAGCTACAGTGGCCTTGAAATCCGCATTATCGTATGCCAGGAAGGCCTTGTATGTCAATTCCTTGAACATAAAGTACCCAACGGGCAGGGAGATCTGCATCATCGATCAGCGGGATAAAACACGATGGAATATGGCGCCAAGAAAAACATACTGGAGATTTCGGCACCGCCAGATTGATATATAGACCATGGAACCGGAGGCCATCAGATGCGGCTTCTAGTCCTTGCTGGGATCCCGCGCAGTCGAAGACCATCCTCACGCCACTTCCATTCGTGAGGGTCTTACACTGCGAGCCAACATTGACCTCCATCGGGTCAAATGTGGCTTGCACCAGGTCTTGAAGAAACTCTCTACGGCGACGGGCGGTCTCAGACACGTAGATCGTGTCTGCGCCCCACGCCCTCAACACGAAGACTGTAGCTACACCAACTGGGCCACCACCTACGACTAAAACGGGTAGGCCCTTGAAGTCCTGGACACCGGAGCATCTCACGCCGTGCCAGGCGACAGCCAATGGCTCGATAAGAGTCGCTGTAGCCATGTCGGTATTATCAGGGATCGGATGCAGCATAGCCGGCGGCACGGCGACTTTCTCAGAGAAGCCACCCCCTCCTCCGGAGAGGCCTAGGAAGCCCAAGGATTGGCAGCAATTTGTGACAGACGAAGTACATGCCGTGCAGGATGAGCAATAGAATCGGGGATCGATAATGACTGCCTGACCAGGAGAAAGTGAAGACGTCGATGGCGCTTGGATAATGCGTCCAGAGACCTCGTGGCCAAGCGTTACGGGGAGAATATCACCAGTTAGGGGGTGTGGACCAGCGTGGGGTATTGCCATTGGTCCTTGGAAGTTGTTAGTTCTACATAGATATTCTATTAAGATGGTCCCTTACTTACCGTGGATATATTCGTTGAGGTCGCTCCCACATATGCCACACCACTCGACTTGAACTAGGGCCTTTTCATCTGACGCTTCAGGGGCATTGACCTCTTCGATCCGGATGTCTCCGGCTGCGTAGAATCGTGCTGCTTTCATCTTGGCTGGTTGTGTTTTAACTGTATTTCTTATAATCAAGCGGTCTTGATGATAGGATTTTGGAAGTTATATATATATATATAGACGGTCCACACCGGCACATGCGCATCGATGATTTATGCTATGACTAGGGTTATTTCATTTCAAGAATAACCGCAACCAGGCTAACCCAAAATGTATCTCGGCCCTCGGCCACAAATGGCTGTACAAGCATGTCTTTGGTCATTTTGGCTAATCGGATAGCCGAATCCCAGATCCTATGCGGAGGCGCCTTGACTGACAAAGCGGTCCTGACATAGTCTGCTGCGGGAATGAGGTCAGCTGGCGGTGCACAAATGTAAGTACTCTAGACTCTAGAGGTATGTTCATGATGTAAGACAAATTACTAGTGCTTTAACAAATTAATAGATGGCTGAACAGTTTTACTCCCATGTAATAGAGACTGCTAGAATTATAGGGAAAGGTCAACTCAATATTCTTAACTGAATGAAGCAAGTGTAATGAACGCTGATAGAGATTATTTCCATGGTGCCCTGAGCAGATTAACATTCCACTATACCAGAAAGGCAACCTACATAGCCTTAGGATTTATAGTATGCTCTGGGAACATTGTCATAATACGGAACGACCACCATCCCGGGCTCATCAGTCTGGCCAACCATAGCGACAGTAATAGGATGAGTAGGCTTATCATCCACGACCAGCTCGATGCAAGTTGGCCCCTTTTGGTCTAACAATCCTGCCAGTGCAGGTGCCACATCACTGATTGTTTGTATCTTCACACTAGCATTTCCCAGTGCCTTCGCCACAAGACAGTAATCCGTGACAGGACTCAGGTGACTGACAGGGCGTGTAGGAGTCTTGGTACCATAGATCAAATCCTGTCCATTCGAGCTCATTCCCCAACAGTAGTTATTGACTACAATCGTCATAATATTCAGATTGTGTCGTTTATAGGTATCCAGATCCATAAAGTGGAATCCTGCGGATCCGTCTCCGTGCAGATTAATGACCGTCCGATCAGGACATGCCACGGCTGCTCCGAGGGCGTATCCAAACCCGTTGCCTAAGAACCCAAGGCCCCCGGAGGATTTTACCATCGCGCTGGGCGAGCAATGGGAAATCACACTGGATGCCCAAAGCGGCGCTTCACCACCATCGAGAATGACGATGCTTTCCTTTGGAACTGAGCTTAAGACATGCTTCAGCGCGTGGTATGGATGGAGACGTCCTGATGGCTGGACCTCTGCTTCTTGCTCATAAGGCGAAGCCAGACCTTTAACGCTGAGGATATTATTCACCCATTGGGTGTCCACTGAGCCCTGGAAAGTGGTATTATCATAATGACGGTTCAACGCAGCAGCGAACTGAGTAACATCACTAATAGCTCCGAGGTCGACCGGAAGTGTCCTGCCAATTTCCGCACCATCAACGTCTACTTGGACCAGCTTGCAGTCTTTCTCGGGTATAATTGCACCCGATCGACCACCAAGGAACATTCCGGTTCTGGCACCGAGGAGCAAGATGAGATCAGGCTGCTGGATACCAAGGCGCGGTAGAAGGGCAAGGATGCCGCTGGGCCCTGCATTGAAAGAGAACTGCGAGGGAATGAAGGATATCTTGCACTTCATCGTGTCGAAAATTGGAATGCCGCATGTTTCCGATAGCTTCATGAGACTCTCTCCTGCCTTGTACACGTTTGCACGGTCAGCACAAATCCACAGTTTGTAGGAAATGGCTTTGTACCTCTTTGGAATTGCCTCCTGTTCCGAGGATGATCAAAGGTCTTTTAGCGGCGTTCAGTAATTCCACTGCCCCGTCAATCGCTGCGGTGTGTGGACCAGGTCCATATGGGAAGGGCGAGCAAACCGACCCCCAAGATATAAGAGGTTTATGTACAGGTGTGAATAATACATCGATTGGGAAGTCAAGAAGCACAGGGCCTATCTCCAGTGAGTATCCGAAATATACAATTACTTAGGTTCAACAGCGTTGCAGAAGCCTACCTGGAGCTCCAGAGAGGGCAACTCCGATAGCATGCTTAACGATTCGCGGAGTATCCTCAGGGTTCGTCATCCGGTAGGCAAACTTTGTCAGCGGACGAGAAACAACGACCTGGTCAATTATGCCCTGAAGTGAATTGTTCTCCAGATCACGGGTTGGAGGCGAGGATGTTATGCAAAGAATCGGTGACCGATCGGCCAGAGCTGTTGCTAGACCGGGGATACCATTGGAGAAGCTTTGAATCAGGTCAGTTCGCGTCAGTTAAAGGGCAGCCGGACGATTGAGGTACGCACCCGCTGTTGGCCGTAATGAAGCAAACGCCAATCTTCTTGGAAAATTTGGCGTAGCTTTCGGCTGCCTGGACAGCAACTGTCTCGTGTCGGGTATCGATCAACCGGATCTGAGAAGCTTCACAGCCCTGGAGAAATGCATCAAGATGCCCGCCATGTAGACCAAAGGCTACCTCCACTCCAAGGTGTTTGAGTGTCTGCGCGAGGAGATCACCGCCATTCAGCTCCCCTCCGTTGTCTTTCAGCGGAAACCCAGTCATTTTGCCGTAAGCTATTTGCAGAATATACCCGAGGCACTTGCTTTGGATGGGAAAAAATGCAAAGGTATAACCTCTCTGTTCAAGTATAAGTAGTTATTCCGATGGCTGCGTTTTACCATCCCTCGGAATATCTTCGGCTTATACCCGAGGCAGGAATGACAATGCGGAGACAGAAGAAGCAGCTGACCACGTCAAGCTGACTTCGCAAGACTGACAAAGTGAAGCTGACACAAGGAATAGCGATGATGCATTCGATCATTGGCAGGTATGCTAGATGCAGACATGCCCACAGTGGATACTGCGGAGAAGTGACCAAGTCACCTAGAGTTGAAGTTGAGGGTATGTAATATTGCTATAGTCCTTAAAGATAAGATTTGTCATTCCGATGGTGACTACTTCTTTAACAGCTGTTATCGTACGCAGCCGCAGCACAATCCCACCAGGTTAATAGCCAGCAACAGCCCCCGCTTCAATAAACCCATTTGGATCCAGAGAACTCATGAGTACACTTGTCGAGGCCTGCAAGCGCCCTTCCAGCGACGACATTGGTCCATTCGCAGCAAGCATCTTGAGTGCTGGGTTGGAACGAAACTGCCATGACTTTAAGTCGTAATAAACGTTGTTGAATTCGATCGAAAACTGGAACTTGCCTTTTTCTTCGTTGTACCTGTAAGCATCTCGAACCTGATATGGCCAACTTAGCTGAATTTCTGTCGCATAGTGCGCCGCTGCTGCTTCAGGAGTATGGGAGGTTTCGGAGGCGATTAGATGGTCGCGGAGGTTTGGCCTATCTCTAATCAGTACGCAACGTTGAAGAATGTCCGTATTTTCCAGTCCTTACCACACGAAAAAGTCAACAATACACGCATGAGTAACAAGGGTTTGCATGGTGCTAGTGTTACGCGCTACTTAGCTTCATATTGACGCAGGAGGGCTGGTACGTACGTGGGGAACATGAATGATGGAATTTGTCCGGCGGAGTGCTCTGGGGATCCTCTTTTCGACTACTCAAGGTTACAAGAGACACGCAAATAGATACTTGTTACGACCCACCATCAGCATGGATCGCATTAAGCGCAAAATGGCCAGACGCTCCACTGGGCCAGTGCGGTGAAATAGTCCTTGGTCTAGAGCTCTGAGAAAGTTCCAGCCATGGTCGAGTGGCTTATCGTCCTTAACAGCATTCCACCCATGCAAGATAGCCCGAATAGCCAAGTCATCGTCATCATCGGCGGAAGTTGTCAGTGGGCCAGCACTGAGCACGTGAACTATGGACTCATTAACTACCTGGAAGTAGTTCACTTGCCCATCTCCACAGGCCAGATTGCCATATGGTGAATGCAAATTCTTTACCCTATTGTCGTTGTGGAATTGACTGCCACGGCTCGTACTGGGAGAGATGTCTCTTTGCTCGAATATGGATTCCAACTGTATTTTGCGATGATTGTGTCCTTGTGTCGTTTCATCCTTGCTCGCTACGGGGGGCCAGCTGTTTTGTATCCCTGGGGAATCTTTATGCACGGTCTCGGCGATAGCAGGTGATATGGATGAGGCCGCGCCAAGGGCAGTACGTAGGGCCTCGTTGGCTTGCCGTATCGCCCTTTTAAGTTGTTCAATCTCCAACTGCTTTTCTTGCAGCTTTTGTAGCAGACTCTGTTCAGAGCCCTTCTGGGACGCTTTGGTAAGCTCCTCAACAGTGGTCTCGAGATGACTGATATAGGCCTTGACACGTTCTCGGTGGTTCCGCTGGGCTCTGCGGTCCGTAATACGTTTCCGATCGACCTTAGCAGTGGCCCGTTGGTTACCGGGTGTACTCATGGTGCATGTAGCTCGAATGAACTCAACTGTTCCAGTAGCTAGAGAAGCGTAGAGGTAGTTATCGATGATCCTTCTCCGCATTTGAGCCTGTCACGTGGAATCTGGGGTGAGGGGGCGTGGGGCCCTACGCTCATCTCCATAAATGGCGTATATATTCAGTTGCTCCAGGAGTGGGGAACAATGGCACAATAGTGGAGATATTGAAGTGGCCCAACAATGCCTTCTGGCGGTGCCGATGCGCCATCTGCGTCACTAGACGAGTACATTTCACCCATATATACTCGGCATCCTTCTGATCTCCCTAATACTTGCTGTAGCCGAATGGCTTTTCTTAGGCATCTATATGAAAGTGGCGAGATAAACCGAAGTTCCGATGACGGTAGAAGTCGACATGCACCGCTCAGCGTGGTAGAAGACCATCAATGACCAGCCACGGTTGACTTTTTTTTTTTTTTTCAGAAGGTGTCCACGTCAGTCATGGGTGCATCGCTGATGGTAGCGCCCGCAGGGGGTGTGCTTCCCTCTTCTCACTACATTGCGAAAGCTTGAATGCGGGCTGCTCATACATACTCGGCATATCACCACTTCATATGCTAGATCTTGGGAATAGTTTCTCTGAATCAGTAGTGGGAAAGCGGAGCATGCGGGGGCAGGACTACGAAAGAGCGCTGCCATGTTGCAGGACTATGGAGGCCCCGACAGCTGAGACTCAGGGAACTCGGTGCTCCTTTGACCTAGTCTGCGTGTAGTGGTAATCAGCGCTTGAGCGGTTTTGCTCTCTCTCAGCGGCGTTATTGCTGGTCCATGATGCAGGCACCAAGGCATCAAATTTCGCGCGGGACGAGCCGAACCGATGACCAGATTGGGCGTTGCGATTGCTACATCTTCAGCCCTAATTTAGCAATAGTTTTCGCTCACTTTGGGTCAGATGGGGAAGAAGGATGAAGCGGTATCCATAATACGGACTAATCGATTCCTATGAGTTGCTGGTCCTCAAGGTCAGGTGACTGGCTCAGGAGAAGGAACACTGAAAATTTCTCTCACCTATTCATCACTAGCTTAGGCCGACATCATGGCTCATGGACTCTTCCAGCTCAGCAGCGGCCTCTACACCGGGGTCGCTGTCCTCCTACTCCTCGCCTGGACGTTAACAGCACTTGCTTTCACAGCACTCAACGTACTCAACAGTAATAGCTCCTACCTCGAAATCATCGCGTCGAGCAGTCTCCTTACCTTTCTCTTCTGCCGTCTTCTCGTTGCCTCGAGTGAGTCGAGTCCATCAACTCGCCAAGATGATACTATTGCTCGATTGGTTGCCTCTGCAGACCATGGATCGCGTCGGGGCGCCGTCGTTCTTTTTGGGTTGTGCTGCACATGGCTATACGAGCTGCTTAACCAGGCGGTGTTGTTATTTTTTATGACTGTCTTTGGGAGTGTCATGGCTACCGCTATATACAATGATGCATTCACGGATGACGTGGTGGATGTCGACGAGAGTACAACGGCTTTGTCAGTCGAGATGGACAAATTTGAAGAGATGGCTGGCTTTAATCCGACGCAGATGTTTAAGTTGATTCCACCACGGCTGTTGGTTTATTTTGTCGCACTGGTTTGGTTGAACTTTCTGAGCTTGGGGGCTTATGTGCTGGGCCATGCGGCGGTGTCGCTGAAGAAGTTGCTGAGCTCGTCAGTAACTGTTGGGAGCGCTGGGGCGGCTGGCGAGAAGGAACCGGCTGCTGAAGAGTAGATGGTGTTTATGACAATTGTACAGCACTACTGTCGTCTTCCCGTATAAGGAATTAAATATAGAATCTTCAAATTAACAACATTCAACTATGGCATGCCTAACTACGTCCCATTGCTTGAGCGTCCCTCCATTTTCTGGAAGACTTCCCCCTCAGTAACAGGGATCCCAATTATGTCTTTTGCCGCACTGAGGAGCCCTCCCTCCGCCTTGTCAATCTCCTTATATTTGCCCTCCCAACTGTAGATTAAATGACCATTCCTCTCCGAGTCAGTAAAAAGAAGCACCACGCTTCTCGCCACGACCTCCGGGCCTTGCGCAATCACGCCCAATGACGCAAGGATATCAGCAGAAACAAGACCAGTTACCGTCCACGACGGGGCAATGGCGTTCACCCTGACACTCGGGGGCAGTCGACCGACCAAGCCACGCGTCAGGCCCAAGACACCATGCTTAGCCGTGGCGTAATCCAGACCGCCAAAGGCCTGGAATGACGACGCGGAAGCTGTGAGGACAATACTTCCAGGGACTACCCCGTCATGCTGGCCTGCGAACTTCCTAAAATAATGAACGGCCAATCTGGTCGTGTATATCACCCCATTCAAGTTGACGTTGAGTACCTGCATATCTGGGGGTGCGAGCTCGCCGTTTTCATCGAGCGATTCATCTAGGAAATCCGTCTTCGGCCCAATACCGGCGTTGGCGAAGACGTGGTCTATTCGCCCGAATGCTTCTACAGCTTGGTTGAACAGGTTTCGCAGGCTGTCCCAGGAGGTGGTGTCCGCTTTTATGAATTTCAGGTTCTTGATGCTCGACAGGTCATCTGGAGCGGGGTTGAGGTCTCCGATGACAACTTTTGCTCCTAGCTGGAGGCATAATTCCGCTGTCGCTCTACCGATGCCTGAGGAACCGCCTATCAAGGTTTATGAGTCTTGCTGCAAGTATGACTTTGGGATAAGCGAACCTGTAATCAAAATGACTTTGTCTTTAATGGTTACTAACGCTTCGTCGGGAATCTGTAGACTAGCCATCGCAATAGGCAGTATTCGACTTGAGTAGCTATGTCAAAATACGTGGAGACTTCAGCTACCAGGCCAAACACACTCTCTTTATATTTAGGTAAAAATGATTGTCCTGCGAACAGTCGATTTTTTTACGGTTCGGCCTTCTCAATCCAGCGTTGTCAGTTTGGTTGTGATGTGTCAGTTCAGCTTGGTCAGTTCCGATGATTTTATCCAAGCATGGCCTTGCTTAGTAACTACAGCAGAAAGTTATTTTGTATTCTGGCTAGGTAAATAGTCTCTTACTTAACTTGGAAGTAGTTGCTTTTGGCGCCAGATGCTGTGTGCCAGGCCGCTCTACGAACTATGTTTCAGGTCACTGGCTACCCAGTGCCCTCTGATCGGAACATTCTAAAGCTCCAAGCCAGCGAATTGCCCGACCAATCTATTATAGGTAAATATTGCTTTTATGCATTTATTTCTGCATATCTATCTCAGTTAAATATCCAAAAGCGGATCTCCTTTTCCTTGGGCGTATCCTCACGAGGCAGAGCACCTGCCTCAAAAGCAGTGTCCAGACACTTCTGCATAATCTGGTTAATAAGTACCGTTGTTCTTCCTATTCTTAATAATTGAGCATGATACATGGGATATCATTGGAAATTGTCAAACCATCGTAGGGAAGTGAACGGTCAGGAGGAGACTCGGACATATATGCAATGAGCTCATATATAACTAGGTCAGGGTATTAAAATGCAACCACACCAAACATTTGATCCTGGCTGGTGGTGAAATTGCGATCGAAATAAGTATTTACTTTCGAAGACTATTGTATTTCTAAAAATCAATGACCAAGTGCACCGCACGAGAAGGAAGCTAAGGCCGAAAATATATCCCACGCGGCATGCAAGATATCGGCAACGTTACCGACGGTCAACTTCATCAACGGCTGACCTAAACCCCGTCTATAAAGCAAAATGGCCATATCCAAGATAAATAAGGAAGAAAGAAGCCAAATATGTACGTAATGTGTCTAATCAATCAACCAAACAATCGATTATCTTATCGTACCCCACAACCTGCCCAAAATAGACATAGCTGAAGATCCGTCGGAAGCAAAGATAACGGACAACCTCCGATATCTCATCTGCGGGGACGAACAGCTTCCCCTCAGGCTTAGCACGATAGACTATAGCCCAGCTGCAAGATAATAATGACTAGGAAGAGATCCTGACAAGTACTCCGAATTGGAGAAGGAGGGGTACGTATACATGCCAGTCTTATGGCCCGGCGACAACTCGCTGTATAAATAGCCTACTACATCTACCGACATCCCTATATATACTTTACGCTACACTTCAGTATTCTACACCAACACACACACTATCTATATAGTGTCACTCACTTCACCACCAATCACATACACGCCAACTGAAAAGAAAAGAAAAACAACCAAAATGCCCGACATCCCCCTGCCACCCCCCTTCGACTCCATCCCTCGAACCCCCCTAACCCTAGGCCCCTCACCCATCCACCCCCTCCCCCGAATAACCTCCTCCCTGGGCCAAAAGGCTACCATCTACGCCAAGCGCGACGACCTCAACTCCGCCCTCGCGTACGGGGGCAACAAAACCCGGAAGCTCGAGTACCTGGCCGCGGACGCACTGGCCCAGAACGCCACGACGCTGATTTCCATCGGCGGCGTGCAAAGCAACCACACGCGGCAGGTTGCGGCGGTCGCGGCGCGACTGGGGCTCAAGGCGCGGCTGGTGCAGGAGCACTGGGTGGACTGGGAGGATCCGGGGTATGATGTTGTGGGGAATATCCAGCTGAGTCGGCTGATGGGGGCGGATGTGAGGATGGAGGACGCCGGGTTTGGGATTGAGCATAAGGAGACGCTGAAGAATCTCCGGGAGGAGTGTGAGGCGAATGGGGAGCGGCCGTATTATATCCCTGCTGGGGCGTCGGATCATCCGTTGGGTGGGTTGGGGTTTGCGAGGTGGGCGTTTGAGGTGCGGGAGCAGGAAAGGGAGTTGGGGGTTGTGTTTGATGATGTTGTGGTTTGTGCGGTTACGGGGTCGACGATGGCGGGGATGGTGGCGGGGTTTAAGTTGATTGAGAAGTTGTATCCTGGGGAGAAGAAGAAGAGGGTCATTGGCATCGATGGGTCGGCGAAGCCGGTGGAGACGAAGGCGCAGGTGTTGCGGATTGCGAGGAATACGGCGGTCAAGATTGGATTGAAGGCGGAGGATATCACCGAGGACGATGTGATTCTGAATGAGGACTATCATGCGGGCACTTATGGCATCCCCGACAAGGGGACGTGGGAGGCCATTGAGTATGCCGCGCGCATGGAGGCGTTCATCACGGATCCGGTCTATGAGGGCAAGAGTTTTGCCGGGATGGTGGACTTGATCAAGAAAGGGGAGATTACCGGGAATGTGCTGTATGCGCATTTGGGGGGGCAGTTGGCACTCAACGCGTATTCGCGTATCGGGGAGACGAAATAGGGAAGAGTTATTATGGTCAGATATTACGAATCAGAATACATGCATCTACAAGAGTAACTACAGGGGATGAAAATGTAAGAAGGCGAAATCAGTCTGCATTCAAAGAGTGACTATAGTTGGAGAATGTGTGGTAATGCGGTATCAGATACCTAGAACAGCTTGTGCTCCAAGGTCATGTCCGATTCGGGCTGAAGGCCAACGCAGGCGCGGAAGATGTTGGTCAAAGCATTGCGCTGCTTGTTCAGCGAGTTGACGACCGGAGTTCCCGGGGGAGTCAGGGGAGCCTTGAGCATGTAGCTCAGCACGCTGAGCACACTGTGGAAGCCCTTGTAGTCGGCGGCCTCATCTGCCTTCCAGCTGACGCGAGTCATCATCTCGGCAAGCACAACCAAGTCGATGATCAGAGGGGAAGCCAGCAAGGAGTCCTCACAGATGTTGAACAAGCTGATGGTCTGGTGACCGCCCATGAAGATCTCAGCGTAGTACTCATCCAGAGCACGCTTGTTGTCACCCACGGCCGGCATGTACTTGATCACCACGGTGTGGTCCGGATGCTCATCCTTCTCGTACAGGATGTGGTTGGCAGCAACCATGTCATCAACCACGTTCGACTTGGAGATCTCCTTGGAGCGGAACTGCTTCTGGGAGCTCAGGTTCTTGCCGTCGTTGTTGCCCAGGTGGTTGTAGCTGGCAATGGAAGTAAGCTTGATACCGGCGTTGATGAGGAAGTCCACGAGAGCCGACTTCATCTTGGTCTGGCCCGACTTGAAGTCGTCTCCGCCGATGAAGGCCTTGTGCTTCTCGGCCAGCTCAAGGGCACCGGGGACGAAGGTGTTCTGGGGAGAACCGTTGATGAAAGGAGTGTTCTCCAGGATACAGGCGACCGCGAAGACGGTGGACGGGGCAACCTCCTCGTGACCAGTCTTGATCGAGTTGAGGAGGTTGTCGGCGGTGTCATTGACACCGGGCACGATGTCGGCGTACCGCTCGGTATTCGCAGTCCACATGACAATCACCTTGTCTAGCCCGTGCTGAGCCTTGAAGTCACTGTTCCTGTTAGCGGGGTGAAAGTGAGCGCAGCTGATAGGAACTCACCGGATGTCCTGCTGAATCTTCTCCACGTGAGCCCAGCAAGCCTTGGTTCCCTCGAGGACGTTGTCGGCACGGTCCTCCTGGTTGGCAGCAATGAAGTCGGGGTAGTAGATACTAGGCAACGGCTTCATCTCGGCCATCTCCTTGCGGACCAACTGCTTGAGAGAGGGCTCCAGGACCTGGGCCCGGTCCATGGCATCGGCGATGTTCATGCTGCTGATGTCCCATCCGCCAATAGCGAGATCATTGGGGTGGACCATTGGCAGCATGTCATGGAAGGGAATGTTAATTTCCTCACCAGTCTTGGGGTCAGTTCCCAGCTTGACGGTCGAGCTCATGACAACAGATCCGTAGTAGTTGGCATCACGCATGCCCTCACGGGTCTCCCACTGGAGGCCACGGCGGTTGGCAATCATACCGGCCGTCACAGTGGAACCGTTGTTACCACCCCAACCGACCATCATCATACCAACTTTGCCCACTTTGCGGTCGACCTTAAAGTGGTAGGTGGTCGCCTTGGGAGTGGCAACCAGCTTGTTGTCGGTGGTACGAGTAATGTCGGTGGTGTGGTAGGCATACTTGCTCTTGATCTCATTGTCGGTGTACTCGACGTTGGGGGAATTGACGGTAAACAAAGGGGAGGATTGAGCCGACCCGTTCACGGCGCCATTGGCAGCAACATCCGAATTAGCGTGGGGAGCCATTGCGTTCACAGAGCAAACAATTGACTAGGATGGCGAAGTGGGATGTTGAGTGAATTATTTAGTGAGTGTGTAACTCGTAGGCCGATGTCCCTCCACGAGAGGATGAGCGCCGGCCGTTGAACGGGTGGTGACGCCTGCCATTGGAGTTAGTCCGAGCACATACGCAAGGCGAGGAGAATGCCACAATGTTCTCTACCAAGAGACGAGCTCGAGGAGGCAGGACAGAGAACATGATTGCGGGGAGACTTACGAGTTAAGGAGTGTGCCGAAAATTTTGGCGGTTTTTGGCGAGTACGCCTTGGAGACAGTGATCTCAAAGAATTGAGAAAGTGAGCTTGAAACGAAACGAAGAGAGTTACGAGGCGAATGGAGAGAAAGACCAGTGGAGGAAATGTTGGCGGGAGAGTATTTAAGGGAGAGAGCGGGACAGATGCGTCCGGAGTCACGGGCGTTCCTCCTCCGCACCCGCACCCGGCAATTTCCCTCCCCAACGTCCAAGACGGATTAGCTCTACTTAGTCCAGTCTTCCTCGCCGATTTAACTTTCTAAGCGACCGAAAAGAACAAGCGGTCAAGATTGATGATCGAACAAGTGGACGAGTGGAATGAATGTCTGCCCCTCCATGACCCCTCCCAGACCATTGATCCCAACCATTCAGTTGTCTCTACCCTACAGACTCGAACAAAGGACCATGTTGTAGAGGCGTATACTGGGGATGTTATGCACAACATTGGATAGTCTAGTGCGTCGAGACCTCACGTTGGGGTGGTGCTGTCGTCCACGATTCGGTGTCCACATTTCATGACTTGCTCTCCACTCGGAATGGCTGCCTAACGTTTTTTGGTTCTTTCGGCTAACCGCTTGATGATGCAGGTCCGTCACGTTTACTCCACCGATCCCTGTCAACGCTAAGGCTAGAATTTGGCCAACGCACACTGTGGGAAAGAAAGGACAATCTCAATGGGGTGGTTTATAGGGCACAACGATGAAAGAGACAACGCCCTTTCTTCCTTCATGCTCCCGTCCATGACATGTGATTTTCCTCCGCCAGAGAGACGCAGGGCACTGAATGGTCTGCGCGTTTTCCATTGTGGGTCGGGCGGGCATACCACAGGGACCGCTAAGGGCGGCCTCGCCAGAAAAATAGACTGGGCAAGTCACTCGGTTCAGAACAATTCATCACCAAGAACTTGGTGAGAATATGCGAGTTGCCCGAAATCACGAAGAACTCGACTCCTGGGATTCATGGAGTGCGCCCATCGCTGCATTTTAGGACAACTCATCCCCCTGACGTTGCGGTGAGCGGCGGAAAGCTCGGCACGGCGTCCCATGGTTGCGATATTACCCCTGATTCAGCGACCGCACATTTGCTGTTTGCGGAGCGCTTCCAAGTGGGTAAAGGTATAACCTGACCCTTCCCCAGCGACATTCCCTGGGCGTCTCAGAACTAGAGATAGATTGGCTGCTATTCCGCGCACCTTCTCTTCGGGCAAAGTACTCGGTACCAAATATTTTTCTCATCGATGATGCATTGTTCCTATAAATTAGAGTATACAATGACGCAAGGGACACATTGAGGTCTGCGATGGTGGTGCTTAGTCAAGCTAGCTGAACTTTCTCCCAGCGATAACCGACCACCGAATCCCAACCTCTCAGATGACCTGTCCAAGTTTGTCGACGTTTGCTCTTTGAGGAATTGTCTTTGAAGACTGACGGGCGCACCACTGCATGGTTCTTTAACTAGCGTTGCGACTATTGTTCGAATACTAATTCTAGAAAACACGATGCTATTTCGGGCCTGACCCCCGTTTCAAGCCGACGTTCCGCACCATTGCCTGAAACGAAGACCCAAGATTGGGGGTCTGAACCGGGGCGCAAATCATCGAAGTTTGAGAGTGAGACCGCTGGATGTAAAGTTGCAAACATTAGATAAGAGTTTCCCATTGCTGGGGCCCGCTCCAACGATCCATGGTACGGGCACACTGGTGTGTCCCAGGTTGAATGGTTCGATCGCGTTGTCTCATGGCTTGGTCTCAAAGAATGGGCAACGACTATCGAAGTTTGACTGGTTATCATCCCATCATGATAAGCCAGTGAGCCATGGTGCAGGGATCGTTGATCCACACAAACAAGAATGAGGAGATTTTAGGGGACCGGGAGGTGTCTGTCTCGCCCAAGATAGAAACCACTATCCGGTCTGGGTTCCAATTGACAAGCCATAGTATGTTCGCCGGAGAATTTTCCATCGACTCAGAAGAGGAACAGTGTCTTATGACAGGTCTGAATGGGGTTTTGTACACCATGGGGAATGCCTCGACAAACTCTGGCCCCTTACTGTGTACTGGAAAACGCTCCGGACTTTTCTCCAGCCAATGGGGTCTGTGTAAGCTTATCTTCTACGGTGCAGTCCTACGATTTGGATTGTTGAATCTCCAGAGTGTAATTGGACAGGATTCATAGTCGTCGAGCAAAGGGGATGGGGTTCCATGATGACATCGGGGAAGGGTACAAAGCCAAGTCAAAAATGGTAACCATGAAAGTAATAATAGTAATAATAACAGCAACAACAACAACAACAACAACAACAATAACAATCACAATGATTGGGACGGGCGCGTGCACTTAGCTTGGGAGCCAAGATCAGGAAGGAAACGGGGCGATCAAATGACAATGACAAGAGGGTGTGCTGCTCCGTAGTGTTATGGGGTCACGGTTGTTGCCCCTGAGGAAGATCTGCGTTGGTTCAGGGGTTCCCAAAGTATATCCGTATGTTCGTCTGGAGTACGGTCAGCGTGGTGACATGCAGCATCATGTCAGACTGGACATGGTCAAAACTCCGCTCGGAAAGGGGGCGAAAGAGAGGTGAAGGATGTAACGTTATATTCAAACTAAATTGAGAGCAATATTGATTGAGGTTAGTTCGGAGGTGGCCGTCAGCAACAGATAGAATTTAAATATATTAGGTCGAGGTTGATATCCATAGTCGATATTCCGTCACAAAGAACGCGTGTTGCCCTGGGCTCGCCGTCAGTGACCAATCCCGTGACTCGAGGCCCAGCCCACCTCCTAAAGTGGACACGCGGATACACGAGGAGTTTCTGCCGCCGAAAAAGAAAAAAAAAAAGAAAAAAAGAGTGGCGTCTCCACTCCCACTGCTACTATTCTTGTCTAAGTTTGGTTCATTTGTTAGTTCGTTTGGTATCCTCTCGCTCTTATTCATAAAACCACCCTCCGCCAGCACTAACAAGTCTCCCATGATTTTCTAACGGAATTTAGACCCTGGATTTCAGCTGGCGTGCTGTGTGGTGTTGGTTCCTGGGGTTGAATAGCACCGGCGACCCGTTATGAGCACGAAAGACGCAGAATCCACAATCCACTCGCAGAACGGTCTCTTCGACCCTTTTCTATGATTTAATCGTCGCGCAACGGTTCTCGGGACCCCATCGTACCGGTTAACATGGCTGCGACCATGAATATGGGCTTGTTGCCCACCATCAAATGCTCGAATTGTGGGATAAATGTCGAGATCTCGGTAATGGGTGACCATGTCTGCGCACCTCTGTCCGGTATTTATCTCCCCTCGAGGATCCAGTAGTTCATGCTACTGACCGGTTGAATAGTATCTTCATCACCCCCTGCGCCACCACCGAAACATCACAGTCCATCGAAAAGTATAGGGAGATCAGGCATCCCACCACCGATTGATCCTTCTAAAGCCAGTACGTTCATCAGTGACAAGTAGTACGTCCCCAGAACTATTTCTAACCCCAATAGATCGACCATTTATGCGTCTGGAGGCTGTGATCAGCAATAAGGGTAATATCACCCCGTTTCCAGATGGCCAGAAATCCCCGCCTCGCCAGTTACTACGGAGCCAAACGTCTCCCCTCCCCTCTCAGCCGCAATCTTCAGATCAGGATGAGATTCCGACATTTCCCCTTCCACGGTCCATGTCTCAAAAGACATCAAAGCACATGGTACCTCTTGACAATCCATACAAGGCGCTGCCAATTCCGGCCAGCGATATTGGTACCACAGGCAAGAGTATTCGCTTACCTTTAGGCGAGCAAGCGGTAGCACCGCTGCCACCGTTGCCCAAGGACGACGTTCCAGGGCCACTACCAACCTTTCACAAATATAGCTACTCCACTGAAAGTAAAAGCAGTTACCGAACATCTGTCGGCAGCTCCCGGTATGATTCCAGACGATCCACATCAGTGTCAATGGGGCGGCCATCCTATGGTAGCTTGTCGCATCAGTCCAAATTCCTAGAGGATGCTCCGCCGATCCCGTCTACATTTCCCAGCAAGCTGTTACGTGATTCAACTGCCACCACGTTCTCGGAAGCAAGTATGCCTCACGGCGACATCAAACATGACCAGGATAGGCATAAGCGCCATGGCAGTGGTACTCACAATCCGTCTATGGAGCCCACCACCGACAAGGTGGATAACCAGCAAGATATGCCAGCTGCTCTCCGTGCATCATCCCATACCAACTCGGACCGTCTAAGCAGCAACCGCGGGTCCGCTGAACTGTTCTTTAGAAGCCCTACCCCGAGTTCCCATGGTACGCCGTCGGAACTTCCCGACCTCTCCGAAGAGCGGTCAACCTCTCCTGCAGACATGCAGGGAATCGAATACAAAGCTTATAAGAGCCCGGGTCTCCAACCCCCCGGGCAGGAACTTGGCGCCGGCGACGGACTCGCCCCTGCACCGAGGAAGAATTCGGATGCCATCAGCGAAGCTGGTATTTCTATCACTAATTTTGCTCGGGAGTTGGGCTTGGACACTACGGACAGTGTGATGGAGAGCTCGACAGCTTCCTCGGATTCATCGCCGAGTGATACACGAAGCGGCACCTCTTTCTCCAGCATCGGATCAGATATCAGCATGTCAAAGCGCAACCTGTCCGATCAAGGCCAACTAGGCACCTTAGTGGAGGAACTACAAACAACGAACGGCGAGAATACAACGATGTCAATGACAGGTTTAGATACGCTCGAGCCTCCTCGAATGCCGCAACATCTTTTCAGTCCAGACTCCCCGACCGATCCCGCCATCAGTACGGGAAGCGTGTCCCTTCTTCATGATAAGCCCATGCAGAAACCGACAAAGGAAGACCAGCCGGAGCCCCCTGCAACGACTAGTCCCACAACTGAACGGCCTGCTCGTGCAACACCCCGCCCAAAGGGCCCTTGCCGCGGCTGTGGGGAGATGATTGTCGGGAAATCTGTCTCGTCTGCGGATGGTCGCCTTACGGGCCGGTATCATCGGGCATGCTTTGTGTGCTATGATTGCAAAACCCCTTTCCAAACCGCCGACTTTTACGTCATGGATGACCTTCCATATTGTGCGCAGCACTACCACCAGCGCAATAACTCGCTTTGTCATACATGTCACACAGGAATTGAGGGACAGTATCAGGAGACAATCGAGCAACGGGGCCATGGGCCAGCCGATCGCTTCAAGTTTCATCCAGACTGTCTCACATGCCGCACCTGCCAAGTTGCGCTGAAAGGGGAGTACTTTGAATGGAATGGTCAGGTATACTGTGAGCGTGATGCCCGCAGAGCCGCGGCTTTACCACCACCCCCTCGCTTCCAGCGCCCAGGCCCGGGATTATATCCGCCCGGACCGCCACCCCATGCGCGTCAACCTTCGCGCGGCTATCCCCGTCCTCCACCCCCCGGGTATGCAGGACGCCCCAGATCACCACGCCCTGGCCCACCTGGCCACCCTGGCCCCCCTGGCCCCCCTGGACCGCCTGGACCGCCTGGAACCCCAATTACCCGTCTTCCTCCACCAAGCTCATTCGACGGGCCGTACGGAATGACCGTAGATGCCGGCCGACGATTCCCAGAGCGGAGAACCACCAGATTAATGATGACATGATTTGACAATTCCGCTCCGATGAACAGTGTCAGGTATATATTACTTTCATATTCAGCTCACTGGGTAGCAGAGTTACTCTTTCCCCTCATTTCCTGTCTATACGTGTTGGAGTATCGTGTTTTCTGTTCTGTCTATATTCAGGCTGCTTTATACCCTTTGTTTCTTGTTGATATTGTATCTTATGGTGTTTCTGCTCTCTTTTAACACCCCCCTGGGCTGGATATTTGATGCGCATGGATGTTTCCATACATAATGTTTGATATAATGCTGGCCATATACACGACCCTGGCAGGCGACGTGATGTAACTAGAACCGTTGATGATATTAATATATTGGCTCTAGCCTATCGAGATCCCGAAAGAGGTGTATTTGATAAATTCGTACATATTTCACCAATAGGTAATAGCCTTTGGGAAAGTATGTGTAGTATCTTGGATTTCAATATAACCATTAGCGCAACATGTTCATATTTGCTTCCACCTAGATACACAGGGCACTTGACAATCGATAATACGGCCATCAAAGCTCCCATGAACCATGTGGTTTAACGCTGCATGAAATTTACCTGCAGAGTGAGACTGAACGTGTTATATTGACCTCTTGAAAAGAAACTAATATGAGCGAAGGCTGGTATACAACAAGACTAACATAGATAATAGACCAAATAAGGCAATGCCATCTTGACGGACGTCTGAGATACCGCGCCCTGGGGCATCCCACGATTTTCAGACCTTTTAGCTGTCTTAATCTAGTGTTCCCACGATCCCTGAGCATCGACCTGATATTCAACATTCAGCAATAACTGTACCTGGAGCTAGAAACAGCCTACCCATCATGTACCCTGTTCAATAGTCAAACTCCTGACCAACAAGCTTCTCACTCAACTTCCACAACCTCTCCGCATCAACTTTGCTCGTTGCCCAGGGGTAGACCTCTTCTTTATCCGGATCCGCCACATGGCAATCACTCAAGAAAGCACCATTGTGCTGCACAATGCCGGTATCAAACGCAGCAAAAACATGCGTTGCGACTCCCTGGTCCAAATCCTTGAACTTTAGCTCCTTCATACCCCACAACCACTTGTTGCCATAGAAGTTATCCATCTCCGTCAGATCCGCAGCAAGGGCGGCCAAGTCATCCTTCCCGTGAGCCGAGAGGTTCGTGAAACTGGTACCAGGACACATCGGAAAGGCGACGAGACCCCGGGACCCGAGTCTCTCGGCCAGGGAAAGTCCCATCAGGGCATTGGCCGTCTTGGACTGGCCGTACGACAACCACCGCTGGTAGGTCTTGCCCTCATTGAAGTTATAGTCCGACCAGCGGATATGGCCGGCGCGGTGCGCGCCACTGGAGACGAGAACTACGCGCGGGGCTGGCGAGGCCAGGACCTTGCCCATGATGAGGTTGGTAAAGAGGAAGTGGCTCAGGTGGTTTGTTTGGAACTGGCTCTCAAAGCCGTCTTCGGTTAGCTTGTAGGGCACGGCCATGATGCCGGCGTTGTTGACTAGGACGTCGATGTGAGGTACGTCTGGCCATGCATTGACCGTTTCGGCTGCTTTCCGGACGTCACTGAATGATAGCAGGTTAAGTGTGAGGGGCTTGACTTTGATGCCTGGGTGCGTGCTGTTCAGCTCGTCGACGAGGCCTTGCATCTTGGGGATGGATCGGCCGGCTAGAATAAACACAGCCGGCTGGGCCACAGCGACTTGCTTGACGAAGCTTTCACCAAGACTCCCTGGGGAGACACCGGTGATCAAAATCGTTTTGCCGGATATATTAGGGCCATAGTGGCGGACGAGATCACTGGCCCTTGTCTCTGCATTGAAAGTGGGTGCCATGGCTATCGGTGTATGGCCAAGGGCAAAGGCTTTGGAAGGATATCGATATAAGTTGTTCGGGAGATGGAAAAGTGTTAATTGAATAAAGAATGTGTAAATACAGGGCACAGAAGGAGTCTCTGTGGCCCTTATATAACTTTTCATACGCCTGTAGGCCTTAGGTTAGGGCGGCGGTGGTGTACATACCCACGGCTCATAGTACAAACCTGAAATTCCCACAGGATTTGTCTCAGCTGGTGCAACTAGACCTACCAAACCAAATCTGGCCCTTGGCGCGAGGGATCGATAGTGATCTCCGTACTGTATACAACTGTCTGTCAATCGTACTGTGGGTCTGCCGCCAAACCATTTCAGGTACCTCGTGCGAAGGAAGACCAATATTACCATTCAGGTTAAGCAATAATATACATGATTCATGGCTATTCTAGTCTGACAATCATACTCTACGCATTAACAAGGTTCTCTCAGCTGTGTAGGTCGCCAGACCAAGTCCGCTTTTCTCGCCGATCAATCGAAGCTTTTCTTGGAGCCAGACTTTCTTTGCGTCTCCTGCTAACGACGAGAACAAGAGCACTGCCATAGGGAAGAACATGCCAAACGATCGATAAGCTATTCCGGTCTCATGTTCCTCCATACCACGCGTGCTGCTGAAGCCAAGAACGGCACAGATATCCTCGCAAATTTGCTCAAGGATTACTATAAGCCCTTCATGTGGGAACGGCTGATGCTTAACGAGTGGATAGTGAGCAGTGACCCCCACATGCTCTTTCTCTTCCTCTATAAGGGTCATTATCAAGCCCAGGACCAACTCCACTATGTGATACCTGACAGTTCGATAAAGACTCCTCGCAATTGCCGCTGTCGTTTCGGTAGAGACCTCAATCAGGTAATTAAATGCGGTCGGCTGTTTCTCCGTAGGCAGATCTGCCCTGGAGGAGCACCGAACACTTGTGGCTACGGATTCAAGATCATCGCTAATGCTAACACCATCCATAATCAGCTTCGACAGCATCTCCGTTCTAGGTGTCCATTGCCCTATTCCAGTGAGTTGAAGTCGAGCCTGCCTCTTGAACTGAACAGCCCGACTAAGAACTGGCTCTAGAAGGGGACCATCCATCCACGGAGTCGTGAATTCCTCCAAGGCCGGCCATTTCGACTCGCCGGACTCATGATTCACGAACATACTCATGAACTGAGCAGCCCTGTTAGCGATATGCTAGCTATGGATGGGGTCAAATTGGATCTGGATATACGCACACAAATGTAAGAGAAGAAGGCGAAGACGCGCTTATCCAGGTCCGAATTTCGGTTCCTCTCAGCCCGCCATCGAAGGAGCAGCAATGTGCCGCGGAAATGGATATGGCAGCGGAAGTCAACATCAGATATCATTCCCTCCAGTGAGTCTGGTACGATGGTCTAGCCGGGTCGTCTTAGCATGCCGGACGTCTTTGTAACCCTAGTTGGGTCTGTCTTCTACGCACAAAATGGGTACATTAAGGGAAGGGTATAACTGCCGATAGCGCAGGATCAAAGAGGACGAATGGGATACTATACCTCAAAGAGCGACAGCGTAAGTAGAGTCACGAGGACCGAATCATCAGCAGTCATAGCCTGATCGTTCAGAGCAGAGTTAAGCGCCGTCATTGCTTTACCATAGTGCCACCTGGCCCGAACCATCAATTCAGACTCCTGACGTTGGCGAGCTAAGCTAGCCAAGGTGACCGCGTGGAGTGCTTCCTGGCAGCACGTTGAGGAGCTGTTGGTATAGAATCTCGGGAGGATGTTGAAGAACGTAAAGCCCGAGTCAACTGCATAATCCCTGTAGAAATGATTCCAGCTGTGAATCTCGGCAGGAAGGTGAACTCCACGCGGGATACTGGTGGTAGCCAGTCTCTCAAGTTGCTCACTTCTCCTAGCCCTTAGGCCTTTCTCCACCCGCATTTGCACTTTCTTCTCGGCGAACGCATTCTGCACGCGAAGCGAGACATCCCAGGCCTCCGGATAGCCGGGACAGGTACGTCCACTCTCCGTACAACGCCGGCAGTGTGGTCTTTGTAAGTCGCACTAGAGCGGTAAGGTTAGCTAGAGTTAGATAAAAGATCTGAGGGAATTAAGGGAGGTTCCCAGAGGAGGTACTGCACCTTGACTCGACGTTGGCGACACAGGAAACAACATTTTGATCGCTTGCCCGCATTGACCATTGTGAAAGGAAGCTTTGCTATGCAATGTAATTGAGCCTTGAATTTCCGGCCACAGCAATAGCCCTTGATAGAAAAGAAGTTACACGGGTGGTGTACAACGCCTACTCTTGGTAGAGGTTGACCGTGTGAGTTTGTTTCTTCACGGCAATCTATTGCCAGGTTAATTGAACCCTAATTGAGCGTGGGGTCACTAGTTAGTCAATTTGGACCTTATTAATAATGACCTCATAATCTAAGCTCATCTGTGGCTTGGAGATCCTTCGCCTAAACTATAACGGGCTCTAACTGCGAGGTGGAGCCCGCTGAAACCATCTAATAAGAGATGGAGTTATTATAGGCAAAGTTCGATATCCTCGGCGGAGTAGATTGCCGGCTTCCGTATCGGATCTCAGTCATTCCCGGCCAGGTTTGGATTTCAAAGGAACCATGGAACGAACGTTCATACGAGAAACCACAATCAACCGGCCAATAGGGGAGTATGTATCGAACCATGTTATCATCTCTTGGCCCGGTACGTGGCTAAGCATCTAAGGTCTTACTAGTGTAAATTTCTTCGGGAAGGGTTGCTGTAAACAAAAGAAAAGAAAACCTGAAGTTTAGAATACGTTACCGCATATTGCTGCCTAGTGACTCGTAGTGTGAAGCAAATTCTGTTGATCATAGATTCAGTTGCTCTGTATTAATCTAAAAAGACAGAGTTCCAATGCTATATAATCATCCAGCTGCAGTGGAATGAGAACAGAGCTAAGAACAACATCCTACAATTTCTTTACCTTACATAATTGTCTTATACTGAAGAACGCCTTCCTGCCAATAGCTTCACACTCATGTCTGCCACTATTCCAACTCAACGCCACGGTCTTCCTCTCTTGGCCACCCCCGAGACTTGTGCAGGGCGGACCTATATTGTGACCGGCGCCAACAGCGGACTGGGCTTGGAAGCAGCGAGGCACCTTGTCAATGCTGGTGCTACAAAGGTAATCCTCGCGGTGCGCAATATCACCGCCGGTGAGAAGGCGAAAGACGACATCGAAACATCTACAGGAAAGACCGGTGTGGCTGAGATTTGGTCGCTCGATCTTGCTAGCTATGACTCTGTCAAGGCGTTTGCGCAGAGGGTAAAAACAAAGCTTGATCGAATTGATGCTGTCATTGAAAATGCGGGCGTGGCATTGTCGCAGCGGGTAGAGGCGGAGGGCCATGTCTTACCTGTCACTGTTAATGTGCTAAGCACGCTTCTCCTTGCGGTGCTCATCTTGCCAAAGATGAGAGACAGTGCCCGCCGCCACGGAACTATACATCGCCTGGTGTTCGTTACCAGTGTTACTGGGTTCGATTGCCAGGAAGCATGGAGGAATATTCATGAAGCACCACTGGCTAAGATGGATTCCGAGGATATGAACATGATGGAGCTGTAATTCCTGCCATCCCCAAGCACTGTCACATTATCCGAGACTGACACGGGACGCTAGATACCCACTTACCAAGCTGATGCTAACTATGGCGGTTCGTCATCTGGCAGCCTTAACCCCCGTGGATCGTGCCGGTGTTGTCATAAACCTAGTCTGTCCTGGGCTGTGTAAGACCGAGATAAGCCGTAACGCACCAGCTGAAGTGCAGGAAAGCGTTGCCGAATTTGTTGCAAAGTGTGGGCGGACTGCAGAGGACGGTAGCCGCACGCTCCTCCATGGAGCTGTGGCTGGTATAGAGAGCCACGGATGTTTTCTTTATTCTTGTCAAAATGGAGAGTAAGTGGACTCAGTATCTAAAAGCTGTCATTTGTCAATACTGATCTGTTTGACGTATTAGGAATTTAGTACCTCAATGGGTGACAAATGAAGAGGGGAGAAAATGGCAGAGACAGAGCTGGGAAGTTATAGCTAACGAATTGGAGTCTATGAGGACTGGCTGTGTCCAGGAAATACTGAATTGAACATTGTGGAATGCTAACATTTTGGCCTGTGTTTCCGGGTATGAAAGACTGTATTCTACTTTGCCTACTGTTATCGTATCATGTGCGAATCTGAGGACTTGTTTCTCATCATTGTTCATCCACATATGAAAAACAAATCAAATACAAAAAGGTTAGTAGAACACTCTTCAGGGATGACACGGTAGCCTTGGTCCAAACACGGCTAGTTTCATACAGCTGCTAGCTCAGTACAGATGTGTATTGGCTCCTGTGGTCATACTAGAGAATTGAATGGATCTATGGCCGCAAGAGATTTAGTGCTCCGCCGACTAAGTGCAAGCTTCCTGTTACAAAAACGTGGACTCCACCTCTATCGATACTAATCTATCATAGCTGACCAAAGAGGAAGTTGCAACCGTTGCTATGTTCTATCATTCACAAAGGGAGTAAAATACATCAAAGCCAGCGGGTTGTTGCAGAGCAGACACAGGCACAGAGTATCCCTTACGGGTTGCAAGACTATGCTCTGAAGTTATACAAAATTGTCTAAAAAGATATAAACATATATAAGCAGATTGGCCGGTTTAGTGTGGTATACTGCTACTGTAATTAAAGTAGATCGGGGTCCCCGCAAAACCTGACATGGAAACAACTCCAAGCTCAGGATTATATCTCTTCACTACAAGCATTAACACGCAAGCTAGTTAAAGGATACTAAGTCAATTACTGTAATAAACCGGCGATAACTATATACACAGCTGTTCACTTTTCTTGTCTTGTGCTTTAACACGGTCTGTCAGTCAGAATTAGCATAACCAAGACATTCGAGACTTCAATAGGTGCCTATATCAGTCTAGTACTATCAGATTCATGCGTTCATTCCCTCGGGCTCAAAGGTACCGTATAAACTAGACTCATAGTCAGAGATAAAACCTATCGATAGTCCGTTCCCCTTCAATTGCTCACGGCCATACCTCATCCAATATTACGAGACGCCTCTCGAAGCTTCTTATCCTCCTCAAAGTCATTCCTGATGCTATCCGCTAAGCTATCATCGGACAAGACATTCCATCCCACAACTGCCAGGCCCTTGGCAGTGTTGATGGCGAGTTCATAAGCCTGATTTGTTCCAGCTGCCTTGGTGAAGCTCGGGGTGTGGTTGAATGCGCCTGGCTCAGCCGGGACGGCGAACCCGCCATGAAAACCAGGACAGATATACGTTACATTACCTAGAGTGCAGGTGGAAGTGAGTATGTTTTTTTTCGGCTTTGGCAGGTTGAATATTGTATCGATGGATATAGGCAGGGAAAGAGCAATCTCAAAATGTTTCAGACACACAAGGGAATCACGTACCCATGTCAGTTGAACCGCTTTGTGCGGCCCCAGAACTAAGAACGGGGAAGCCAAGGGTTTCCATCACAGATACATAGTTCGCACAAAGGGTCTTGTTTGGCCTGAGATCGGCGTACGTCTCGAGACTGCAGATGGACCCCCGGTTAATATCCTTTGTTTTGAGTGTAGTATTGAGGATGGCAATGACGACTGCTTTGCCCTTTTTACTCACGTTTCATATTCAACAGTACAGCCTGTTGCTATTGCAGCCCCTTCAAAGCACTTTATAACTCTACCCTTCAGAACCTCAGCGTCTTCCAAAGTCGCGCTTCTACAATAGTACTCCAGGGTAGCACTGGCCGTGATAATATTAGGTTTCGTTCCGCCTTCCACAATCACACCATGAATTCTCTCGTGCGGCTGTATTTGTTGCCTTAGCATTGAAATGCCATTGTATGCTAAACAGACCGCGTCGAGCGCGTTAACGCCTTGCCAGGGGGCTGTTGCCGCGTGAGCCGGCTTGCCAGTATAGCGGGCTCTAAATTTGACAACTGCAGAAGACTTGCAGTATGCGACACCGGAGACGCCGTCTGGAAACCGTTTGTGGGCGGCAGGATGAACCATAAGACACGCATCCACGTCATTATATGCCCCAGCATCGATGAGGTTGATCTTTCCACCACCAGCTTCCTCCGCCGGTGTGCCAATAAGCCGAACTCTGCCAGGAAGCATAGACTCTTTTAAGGCGGCGGCCACACCAATGAAGGCGCCTATCGATGAGGTCGCAATGAGATTATGACCGCATGCGTGGCCTATTCCCGGGAGGGCGTCATACTCGGCGTTAAAGGCCACAACGCGTCCCCCATTTCCATATTCTGCGACAAAGGAAGTCGCGAGACCGTATGCGTGCTTTCGTACCACGAAGCCAAGTTGCTCAAGCAGCGTAGTTATATTGTCATGTGCCATAAATTCTTCGAAAGCAAGCTCGGGGTTTTTGTGTATCTATACGCTAAGGTTAATGGCGATGTACTTGATGCGTCAGGGGGTTAGAAGAAATATAGCCCTTACCTGTTCGTTAATTAGCTGTAAGTCCTTGTTGTGAGCGTCGATAGCGTGCACAATGACATCCAGCACACAGCCATCCTGTTGAGCAGGGGCTGGAGGTAGCAAGGACGAATTAGTCATTTGAGTCATTCTAGCAGCTGACAATTGATAAATTCTAGATATCAGTGATTCTATCATGTACTCCTGGCAATAAAGGATTCCCAATGATAGGAACAGATAGCTAAGTGGCCTAAATATGGTTTCGTATAATGATGCCGGAGAATAGTCAGCTAGATGTACTCAGTCGATTGGCTGAGGTATTTCTAATAGATCAGGTAGTGGCTAAAGGGGTGAGGTAAAGGGCATGATCCTTTGTACATGGATCTTATGTAGGGGAATGCTGAGTACCAATTTCGGCATTCGGCGTTTAGAACGATGCTCGCCCAAGATAACACCCCGTTTAATAAATCAGAGTTTGATAGAGTTTCAGTACTATCAGGACCGACATACATATTCTAAACGCAATTTATTCCTTTTCCAGTTATGGTATACATTCACCATTAACCCTAAGATTGCCTGTACTTCGGACTGCAACGCCCTTGCATATACCCCACATTGTAAACGCCGAAACCCGACAAATGCCCGATATACGCCGCCTTGCATCGAGAAAGGTCCGTACATCAATAGGCCTGACTTCCTCTGCCAATAATTGGCGACTTTCTATGGGAGTGATCTATCAACTTGTGCCTCTTCCCTCGAATGGAACTTGTTGAGTGATAAACATCCATCACACTCTGAGTCCCGTCAACAATGTGTAAGGTTTACGAGTATGGTGTGAAAAAATATAAACTTTAGTACTTTAAATTTATGCATAAGGGATAGAGATATATAAGGAATTTTGCTTTCTTAGAGTGGCATACTGCTCTTATAACGACCGGCTGGTATCATATTGCACAGAAGCTATGTGGCTATGCTAGGGCGAGATTCCATAATTCCATTACATGAGGTCTACGTGAAAGGTTCAAGGCTCTATTTGAAAATCTCTATTCTGACATGGTTCACCTGGGGAATGACTTTAAGGAATAGTATTTTTAGTAAAGGAGTGTGACTATCTAAGAACCGGACGAAAGGCAATCTATTGATACCATATTAAAAATCTTGGAGAGAACTCTTAACATATCTCAACCGAATACACTTGAGCCATGGCATGATAACCGTTCCTCTTTTCTTTAGACCAGGCATGCCTTGTGAGCCAAATCAGTGCAGCGGGATTTTCGCAGTGTTGACATAGTCAATATTGTCGCGGTGCCCCTCTATGCGAGTTGTGCATGTGTTGAACAAGCGATCCCACACACGGGTCTGCTTGCCGTAATTGTAGCTGCTCTTCCAACCCTTGCGGTGGTGGAGATCATGGTCCTCGAGCAAGAGCTCCATGTTGAAGAGCCGTAAAAACGAAGTCCAGGGATTCACCGCGGTGGCGATCATTCGCAGACCGCTGTGGCCGAGAATTTCCGTGAAGATGACATATTGCTGGCAGATCCACCACTCGTAGAAGCCCATGGGGAAGCCCATCAATTTCATTGTGCCGTATGTGATGAGAGGTGTGCCGACAAGATCAATGAACTCTTGTACGAGGTCCGCATACGCAGTCAGAAGTGGATTGGGATGTTTGGTCAAGTGGTGTCTGCGGTGGAACTGCCATAGTAGATCTGTTTCGTGTGCGGAGCGATGGAATAGGTAATACCAGAAGTCCAGCACGACGGCGTAGACGCCAGTTTCAAAGATGAGCCACAACCACCGGATCGAGGAGGGGCCTTCATCTGCGCGATAGGCGAACATTACAGTGGCCATGGGGCGTATAAATATAACTGACAGGAGTGTCTGGACTGTCTTGCGTACTCCCACGTCCGGCACACCATCGCGAGGATGCTTGTCGCCGTCGAAGAACCCAATCTGATGCCCGACGCGGCGCAGGACATGGACTTCGTGGATAGCGATGAACTCCAGGGACAGGCTGTAAAAAGCGAACACCAGCAGCGTCGAGGGTTGGCCGATATAGTTGATGTAGAGTTGGTGAATGATGAGTGGGATGCTGGCGTGGAGGAGGACCCAACGATGGAATTGTAGCTCTGGGGCGTAAGGAACCTTGTCTGTTTTCTGGTGAACGGGAACTTCTTTATCCAGATCGATATGGTGGATGTTCAGGGTTTCGATCAGCCAGTGGGCTGCGTTCCACTGCTTCCGGTCCCACGAACGCCAGGTGGACTTCATCGAGTCCAACGGATTGCGTGTAATTGTAGCCATCTCTAGGCGGGGTGTGTTGAAGAGCGAGGGGTCAAGAACTAGCGTTCATAGCCTTTCTCTTTGGCGGCCCTCCGTGTCTTCTATAATACTAGTCCACACCTCGACATGTGAACTAAATAAACGTGCAACCGAGGTGTGGGATATTTGCCCCAGCATTTCCCCACGGAGAGTATCAGATTTGGATTACTGATTCGCACTGGTGTCTTTAATCAATCGCATCTTGTTTTGTGTCAGCATGATGGAGAGATCGGCAAGACCCACCTCGATTGGGATTTGCTCATTTTCTGAGGATCCCCAGAGAAGTCGAGGTCTTGGCCAAGTGGTAGCAATCACCATACGGGTTAGGCTCCACTAGCCTGCTTTTCATTGGCCAGCATGCGAAGCATACCGGATTAAGTATGTATTGCGAATTGGGAAAGCCTCAAAAATCGTTCTGGATGACCCTCACCTGGTCACGAACTTCCCGCATGTGAATCCATTTTCCTTCAATTCAACCTTTAATATGCCATTTGCTTCTCGTGTACCAGCCTGTCTCCCCCCGGATCTTCTCTAGATTAGTTATCATTCCCCCCCCTTCTGCCCTGCATTTATTGCCTTTCGTGCCGTCCTTAATGTAATGCCGGCAGATGACGTATCTGAAGCCACCTGTTCACCTTTTCTTGCAAAGGTTATCTCATAAAATAGTTTGTTTCGACGGTATCAAAGACCTACGAGCTGGAAGGGATTTAAAGATGCCACTTTGCGACATCTCTATTATCAGCCTAACCTGGCCACTGAGTTATTACGTATCACGAGACCTCAAATACCCTGGCATCTTGATGTCTAGCCATATTATCTTGGTTGGCATATACATATCTCCCAAACAAGAAAGGAAAAGCCAACGAGGAAGATCATTAAAGTCAAGTATTAGTTTATAATTTCTGTATCGTTTCTCCACACTTCTCGCCATATGAATGCTCTAATTATCCTCAGTATAGACGTTCTAGCTAGGAGTATTTGATACTGTATACCCTGTACATAATTGCAGAGCGCTTCCCGCTGCGCAATAAAGGAACAATCAGCTAAGGAAGGACACAACCTCAGCGAGTGCCAACCGTTGTATATAATTTTCCCCTTCGCATGCCTTGTCGCTGTCTCTCTGTGGGTAGTAATATCATTACAGTTATTATCCTCAACATACTACTATAACTTGCTTTTGCTTATCTACCGGACACTCTTCTGGCGTCTCTGCATTCTCGTGCCCTACCGTGTTAAGAGTAATCCGCCAAGGTCTAACCATTTTTGCGCAGACAATCGCCACCGTCAGATTGCCGGAAATTGCACCTCTCCACTCATGCGTTATTCGATAACAGAAGTCAAGCACTACTAAACGTTCTGTCAACGGGCGGTCTTTATCGCTCTACATAATCCTGGAATTTGATCTTTTAGAACAATGTCCCAGTTACTACATGTTGCTAAAACAGATAGGGTCTACAACCACAATGGCAACCAACTATATTCACACAATTATATGACAATACTCTAGTGATGAAGGAAATAAATTGTTTAGGGGATTGAGATCGTTCGAGTATATGACGGAGCTGTCAGTGTTTCTGCGATCGAGTGACCTACATTGAAATTTCCACTATAATATGTAGGCCAGAACGATACGAAAAGAAAAGAGTTTTCTCCTTCGAGTGCGTCACATAGATACTTCTCTGATGAGTGTGAAATCAACTAAAATTGAACATGAAATTGTAGGTGTACAAGCTGGCACCGGTGCTGCCTTACTGTAAAGAGAATGATCCGGAGCATGAGTTCACCGTTAAATTGAAGACAACCTGCTGATCTACTGAGGTAGGGATTCGCATCTCTGAAGAGAAGTGGGATAATATACCAAATTACTGTGTCTTGCGTTTAACATAAAAGCAAAAAATTTTGAAAGATTGAGTGGTACTCAACCAGTAGCTCATTCTATCTTTAAAAGGGGAAGTGAATTCATAGAGAAGAAGCGTGTGAGCCTGTATAATAATATTGCAAATCATGTTCTATCCCTCTATGTAATGATACGTCTATTAGGCACCTAATGTGTTTCGCTATATGCTTTAGTGGTGTTTGAGACTGCAGCAGAAACAGATATTACCCCCAGTTTCGCTGCGGGTGTTGTGCGAGGTTGATGCAGTTGTTATGGCCCCCTTCACATTACGTAGCATCAGAACCCTTTTCTTGATTTGATCCTCACTCATATTTTCTGTATCCCCCTTGCCATCACTTTTCTCCCCCGACTTCAACGGCAACCAGTGCATGAGGAAAGGGCCAAAGACTGACAAACTGGCGGTAGCAACCCGCAACGTAAAATGTGCCCACGATAGCCTCATTATAGGCAAGCAGAGCCAGAGGTAGTTGAGTCGGTGTTAATTGATCACGAAATCCTGTCGCGCCACTGTGCACAGCTAAATTCGCATCAACAGCCGGGAGCCTGGACAGCAGATTTGCCAGTAGCTCATTCTGAAACACGCTTTGCCCGACCGGAAGAAATATCGCACTTGACAGAGTCTGCGTAAAGGTCAAGATAGTGGTCGACATCGGCATATCTGCTGGCTCTACAGCCACAGATGCCACAAGCATGACATTTTGAGCGCCGATACCAACTCCAGCACTGATTAAGACTTGGTATCCGAACCAGTATCCGATACTGGAATCGACCTTCAAAGTACTCATAAGGCCGGCCCCCATGGCTGTGAGGACTGATGACATTATGAGTAGTGGGGTATAATATCCGATTGCTGAGGCGAGACCTCCGCCGATTCTGGCAAAGGCGGCCAGTCCAACTAGGCTGGGAAGAGTATCAATTCCTGATTGGGTGGCGGACTTGTCTTTGATGGCTTGGAACCAAATAGGAAGCTATTGTGTAATTAGAGGCACACTTCTTGGATGAAATAAAGGATAAGCGACTTACACAGTATGTGACAATAGACATGGCTGCTCCGATGCAAATCCCATACCAAACAGCACCCCAGTTGTCCACATTCTTCATCAAGCGCAAGGGGATCGTGGCCCGATCTCCCTGCCATACTTGAATCCCGAGAAATATGATGAAAGTCACACCGGATACAACGAATAAAGCAATGATCCGCGCGTTGCTCCTGGGCCGGAGAGTGCCACCCCACTGCAATGCGAAGATAAGGCATATAATAGATGGAACCAGACCCATAGTGCCTGGTAGATCACCTTGCTTGAATTGCTCTCTCCAGCCCAGTCTCTGCACCGACGTTGTGCTAGAAGGTAAGAAAATGAGGATAAACAGGACAGCAAGGCTGCCAAAGGGAAGATTAATATAGAAACACCATCGCCAGGTAAGATGGCCTGTAAAGGAGCCTCCCATAGTATGAGAAGAAATTGAGAATTAGGGACCCCTCACATTGGCCCAGCAACACTAGCAACTGCATGCATTCTAGAAACCAAGCCCCATATGAAGAGGGCGAACTCGGAGCGGTACTGCGGTTGAGAGGATGATGATACATCCCGAGAAGAGCCCAGCCGCCCCCACACCAGCGATGCTTCGTCCTACAATGAGAGCATCCGAGGTTGGTGCAGTACCGCAGATCAAGAATCCGAGCTCAAAGGTAAGGGGACCGATCAGAAAAACCCATTCGGATGGGTAAAATTGGGATAGCTTGCCGAAGATTAATTGCACGGCGCAGGTGGTGAAGAGGTAGGAGGTTCCGTACTAAGCAACGTCCTCCAGGGAGTTGAAGTATGTTGTGATCCTGGGAATGGCTGTTGCAAGGATTGTGGCATCCTTTCAACGTAGCGTCAGTAAACTATTCCATGTAGAGCAATCAGGAAGATCTCACCAAGGATATACAAAAGAGCGTTGGGCATAAAGCAACTGTGGCAGGGATCAGTCTCCATATGGATGGGATTTCGTCGGCAGAACTGGTATCTTCCGTTGTTACCTTCACCTCGCTAGGCGCACAAGAGGGGACACTCTGCTGGGAACTCATTTTCCAGTGCCAGGGTGATCAAAGGAATGAAACCAGTTCGGAGGCATCCACGGGTTAGATTATGCTGGGTCTATCCAATCTAGCTTATTGTACTAATCAGTTCGCTTCATTTAAGGGATTTTTGTCTTTCTCCGTAGCATTTACTTGACTACTACAACTGCGAGCTCATAAGTGACTGCATATCTCATCTCTCATGACCTCGGCACGTTGATTGATCTTCTTCTAGGAAATTCGTTACACAACTCGCTGAAATAGTAGACAAGCGACTGCCAAATTAGGTTCCATATTGCTTAGTTGCTGGTCAAACTTAGAATAATTCATGGAACTAGTTCTGTCTTAATATTTCTCTAGTCACTCGGTAGGCGTCCTCGAAGGCGCCTGAAATGAACCCGCGCCAGCCATCTGCAAAGTCCGATCCACAGAAATACACATTTCCATGTGGTTTTCGTATTTCATCGTTGTACTTTTGCAAAAATCCAGGTCCTCGAACTGGCATTACTCCGCCAGCGTATGGGTCATCTGACCAGAGATGGCCATAAGCAGTTTCGACTTGAATGCCCGCGGGGCGAAGACTTTCCACAAGACGGATATTCTCATCTGAGCGGTCCAGGCTGTTATCAGGATGCACGAGCAAAGTGAGAAGGGTATGGTCGCCGTGACTTCCGTCTGTAAAGCCACTTGCATACGGCATATCTCCTCCCTCGCAGCTAACGTTGAACCCGTTTTTCAACTCGGTTGATGTACATACAAGGAGCTTGTCTGCCCTTGCTGGAGTTACACCAGTGGAGAGAGCTTCCGTTCTGAGTGCGGAGAGGGGCGGATCGAAGACGATTGATGATATTACATTGATGGGGACGGTCGAGATGACTGTTTTGGACAAATATTGCTCCCCATTCCTGAGGGTGACAGTAACAGGAAAGTCACCATCTCCCTGAGTGATTGATGTCACGGGGGAGTTAAAGATTCTATCGCCCTTGTAGTCCTCGAGGATTGCTAGCGCAAAGGCAGTGGTACCCTTTGCAAGCTTGTACTTCATGGTGGCTGTCTCGATCATGGCAGGATCGAAGTTGCATAATGCATGGGTGTGAAGCACTTCCGTAAACGAAGCCTTTTCAGGCGCGATGCCGTAGAATGAAGCGGCATGCGTGCTAAGCATGGACTGTTGCTCTTGAGTGCAACCCTCGAGCTGCGCAACACGATCGCTGACACTGAGTTTATCTAGTTCAAGGTAATCCGGATTCTGTTTGACACTGGACGCTGTACTGAATGGGAACGGAATTATACTGCGCCCACCTTGTCCGTCAACATCAAAGAACTTCAACATGAGTCCTTCGAGCTGCTCCATCATGACTCGCCCCTCAGCAGGATCTGACACTATAGCTGGTTGGGACCGCGATTCCTTGGCTGTGGATTCACAATTTTCAGGGAAAGCCATAGTTTCCTCAAAGTCGTCGAGGCCATATCTTTGCAGCTCGCTGAAGACATGAGGTTGTTGCCAGTGCACCCATGTGCCCCCAATCTCAACCTTGCTGTCCTTTCCGGTATGCGCAGTCCAGCAGCGACCGCCAATGCGATCCCGAGCTTCAATGATGAGCACCTTTTTTCCTTTGAATGCAAGGTCGCGGGCGACAGTGAGCCCAGCAAATCCAGCACCGATGACAATAACATCATAGCTCGATGAAAGGTCAGACTTCGGGGTTGAGGGAACCATGGCCGTAGTGGTCAATCCTTATACCTTTAGCCAAGTATGATTACGACTGTGTTGAAATACATACCATACTGAAAGCCATCTTTCGCAGTCCATGCGAACCCTTCTTGCGATCGCTGCATTTCGTCAGTATAATATATCGATCGTGGCGCATGTAGGAATAACGGTCGAGGGACATTAGAGGACGTTAAATATACACCACGTAGATCTACGATCGGCCTCCGCGGTCTCCGTTATCTCTCGATTTTCTCCACTCTTGATGATGGGTGGCCACCTGGGGGACTTGGAAAGTATACATCCATCTTCCATGATGCTAACAGCGGGCTCCCGAATAGGTCTAGCGTCATTTTGTTTAATCGTTGCCTTCTTCGGTGTAGGCTCTAGTAGTAAAACCTCATTTCATCAATCAACAACTTCTTCCCCTATGATACAGTAGACCCGCGCTCGGACTCCTGAGAGAAATATTAATTCAATTTCATATGTTAAACAATGATAGCAGAGTTACACCCTCCCTTACAGTTTAGACGTGGCTGGCTCAATACGATATTCATACAAGAATGTCTGCCCACTGAATCTATCACATCCTTTAGGGCATCGACTGATAGAACAAGCATTGAAATATTCAAAAGACCAACCCATGATACTTACTCGTCCTCAAAGACTAACGTATGTATTACGTCGTTTCATTTTTGACCTACGCTAAGCTAAATCATTGATAGTAGCGGCGGTGCGGAGTTATCGGGTCGCGAAACCCTCTATGAACAGCAAACAACCCCAGGGCTAGGAGTGCTGATGTTTTTCCGTCGCGATACGGATCTGAGCCAATATATATTGATAAGTTGGATATCTCTTCGTCCCCAGGAAGCATATGGAATATACCACACCCAAATACCTGAAATCTTATTAGACAACCAGTCTCACCTGCAACATAAGAACGACCACATCAGATCCAAACACCAAATGAATATGATGACATCGCTTATGCGTTGTTGATCCGTCAACCACCAAGTAAAAGTCGTATAGCAATTCCAATAACGTATCAGAGGAGGCATGATGTGTAACCGGATATCGCGAAACTCGTTCAACTTGACCCAAAGCCAATGTTTTTAGATTCGCAAAAAAAGTTAATATGGATGGTTAAAAACAATTGTGGCCAGTCAGAGGCTGTCTTAGAGAAGAAGAATCCGAGGAATTGGAGACCCCAAATTGGGGTAAGAAGCAATACTGACTGACTCCACCATAAACCCACAGATTAGTTACATCACCATCGTTAGGGTTTGGTTCACTGGATTATATAGAAGCCCGGTTCATTAAAAGCAGAGAACTGGCCTGAACGCACGCTAGCATGTTATTAAGCCTCCTAAAGCCGCAGATGGTCATGGATATTACAAACGAAACCAATAAGACGTGAACCCTTAGGAGTGACGTGCCAAGACTCTGGCCCGAGCTGCGGGTAAGGCTTTCCGTAGCCAGATATCATCCATCCTTGCAGCAGATGTTCAGATTGCTGTTCTGGCATTATCAGGCCCATCGTACGATGCACTTGTCAGCCAAAGGGTCCACCAGTGACCCTCCATCAGGTCCTCCTTGGCCAATTAATGTGTAGTTGGCTGTGTAGTGTGTGGATCAATGTAGCATGTCACTTCGTAGGTGCCATTAATAGTGCGTGCTAGTCCTATACGACCAATCAATTGGGAATGCTTGGACAGGGAGGCGTTGAACTGATGCAAACTATTTGCTTTAGCTACATCTTTGTTCTCACGCAGGGCCAATCGGACCAGCGGAATTGCCAACAACAGGCATACTATACTCTTTATGCGTCCCCACCGGAAGGGCTAGAGGTTATCACCATCGTATATGTATAATGCTCCACATATTTCCCCGCAGATTGGCGTGCTTCCCTGCTTTGTACATCACACAAACCTGCAGGGATGTCTCAATTTGGAATACACGTAGCAATCCCTGACGCTGCATATAACATCCTTGCCTCCTTCAATCCCATGCACGAGTTTCTCTTTTCCCTGACCATACATGTCAAATAGAACGAGAATAGCCCTGCAAGACTGCCTCTGACACCAAAATGTCCGGAATCCAAGCCCAGCTCGACCAGGGCGCCGTCCCCAACGCCATTTCCAATGTCTGTCCACCAGGCACAAAGTTCCACGTCCTCGAAGTAGGATGGCTCGAATGCGACAAAGGGTTCGTAATCAGAGGCGGCAACACAAGCAAGAAGTCCACAGAGAACGGCTCCTTCGTCAACGAGCGATGCGAAATGCCCATGTACTGCATTTTGATCGACCACCCACACGAGGGTCTGATCCTCTGGGAAACGGGGAGCGGGAAGGATTACCCAACGGTGTGGGGCCCGGTGATCGCCGATATCTTCACTCGCGTGAAGTACGAGCCTCGACATGAGCTGCGCGCCGCCGTTGAGGCGACCGGACATAAGCTGGACGATATCAAGAAGATTATCATTGGGCATCTGCATCTGGACCATGCGGGCGGACTGGATGAGTTTTTGCATCGCACGGATGTCGAGATCTGGGTGCATGAGAAGGAACTGACGAATGCGTTTTGGTCGGTTGCTACCGGTGCGGATGTTGGGGTTTATTTGGAACATTATCTTAAGTTGTCTTTGTATGGTCACTTTCTGGGTGATTGATGTGGTGTAAGGCTGATGAGATATAGGAACTGGAAGACGTTCAATGATCAAACGATGGACTTCTGTCAGGGTATCACGCTGCATCACCTCCCTGGGCATACGGATGGTCTCATTGGCATGCAGATTAACATGCTCAACACGGGAACGTTCTTTTTCATTAGCGATCATTGCCATGTTATTGAAAATGTGAGTTATACCTACTTGATTCGTTGGTGCCCTACTGACTTTGTAACAGTGGCGGGATGGGATCCCTCAGGGCTGGTTGGCTCGAGACCACCCATCGTGGTTCAGGAGTACACAGCGTCTTAAGCAGCTCCAACGGATCACTAGGGGACAGGTGATTCCTGGGCATGATAAAGAAACCTTCTTGGGGCTTCAGAGCCAGGCCGATGTTTTCACCTGAGCCTTTCTCTTTTTTTTTTTTTTTTTTTTTTTTTTTTTTTTTTTTTTTTTTTTTTTTTTTTTTTTTTTTTTTTTTTTTTTTTT